TAGAAGGGGTTACGGCCCCTTCACCCGCTGCCTAAGGGGGTACCGCCTCCGGACTGACGTGCCCTACTACTGGGGCCACGGTCTCTGGGTCCTCCGGCTAGGGGTAACCTAGGGGAGGCTGTTCTGACCCGACCCAGCCAAGGTACAGGTCCCGACCACTGGCCCACTCGGTCCCGGCCCTTACAAGGACGTCGGGTCAGGTGAGTTCCAGGGTCCTAGCTAGCTGGGCTTCAGTCTTCAACTGGCCCCAGACCCGTCCAGAGGTCCGGCTTTTATACACCTCCCAGGTGTGTCAGCCCCTGGCCACGCCTCCCTTCCAGAGAGTTCCAGTCTCAGAACTGGAATTTTGCCAAATTTCGTGAAAAAAAAAAACACAATGTTCTGTTATGGGTCTTTCTGTACTCTCATTGGTGACCAAGCTGAGACCATAAACTCACCACCTGGTTTAAGAACCTGGTTTAATCCCTAGGTGGCTGACACCCGGATTCAAACCCATATTCTAGATTTAAAGCTTTCGTGACTGCTAAACCCATATCTTCAGGTTCTGGTTGTATATTCTTGATCTCTCAGGCACCAGGCCACCTCCGTGACATCATTCTCAGGTGGCGTGCATTGGAATTTTTTTAAATTATTTTGCCCCAACTTCATCCGAATGTTGCGATCATTGGTACGTCATGACGAGAAGAATCCATGGTATCTCGCAGAGGGTTGCAGTACAATCCGAGTACAGATTGTAAATCTGAGTACAAAATGTTGCAGACATGCTCTCTAACACACCGGTGTGCTGCACTAGTAATGACTTGGTATGTTCTGTTTACGTGACAAACCTTACTAATTTACGCGATCTAACCCAAAAAACCTATATTATGGAAACATTTATTGTGATGGGTTTTTTTTGTCTGGTCATTGGTGACCGGGCTGAGACCATCAACTCACTTTACTTGAAACCCCGGTTTGATCATGTGCGGCTGCCTGGATTAAAACCCAGGAGCTCAGTGGTGCTGGCTCTGCATATAAGACCCCTGAGCTACACGGCCACCTTCGCATGAGTGTTTTTTTAATGCAACTGCGGTAACATGACTGGCGCCAGAACGGCGCCACAAACAGGATGTTACTTGCTGCGTTGCATCCTGGGAATTTCTGTTTATTTATGGAAGGAATTATGTCGCGATTGAAGCTTTGTGTTGTACAGTAATTGACTATAATCAAAACCAGGTCTTACCGCGCGGCTCCATGGTCACAGCACGTGCACACGCGCACACTGGCATGTATAACAAGCCCTTAATTATACTTTGTAGGCTATCAGGGAGAGTGCCGTTAGCCCATTAAGGCTTGGACGGTACACATATGAGGTCTGGGGGAGCCAATCTGTACCACACCAGCGCTAATGTTTGTAACCACTTACCACACACCAGGTGGAATGCATGTAAGGTTGAATCGACCTTTTTTAGAATTTTTATTCAGACTCGAAGAATACGATGAACTATAAAGCTTTTTTTCACAGATGTCAAGTATGGGTGGGTTAGAAAGTTACAACAAACAATGCAAAATGTATTAAGGGTTTGGATTAAAATACCGATTGGCAACTCAATTCATCAACACACACTGGCACATGCATGAATGAGCACCCATTCACACACCCATGTCCATGCACACACAATCATTCACTCATACACATCAAATCCATTAACATACATGAACGTATTATTTGTTCTTTCGGTAAAGTCACGTAGAAGGGAACCAAGAATATGAATCCCTGCAGTCACGAAAGCTTTAAATCAAAATGTATACATGAACGTATACATGCACACTTAAAAAGCCATGAATGGATGTTCAAACGCTCTTATATCCATCAACAACGCATACATACACACTCGCACACTGTTCACTGAACACTCACAAACCCATCATTTGACAAAGGTCCTCCGTATAGCCTTAAAAACAGACTGTTGGGGCAAGTGCTGTAAGCAAGCACAAACTTACAAACATGTAAAAAGATACACTCATTTAAATGTGTGCATACTGTACTCACAAATCAATAAACGTGTCCACCCCCCCCCCCCCCCCCATCAACATATACTCAACTCACCCATAAATGTGCACACCCACTCACGTTTTTTGTATTTTTACCAAGGAAGGCCCATTGAGCTAGATATCTTTCTTCAAAAGCGACCTGGCCACAAATGATAGCAGAACGAAGTGGCTTATCACGTGCTCATTTATAGCAGTCAAATACTCCATATGCCTGTTTCTAAATGTGGAGGGAAAAATCGGAGGACACTGAGTGGATTTATAAGTCAACTCTACGCAGGTGTCAGGGTCCGGATCGAATCCTCTTGCATGCCAGGCGAGGGAGATAACATCTCGCCACCACGGAACCCCAACTCCTACCCATCAGTATAGACCCTCGTACACTTGCAGACTGTACACACACTAACAAATACCTTCCCATCAGTGCCTATATACCCACACTCCCATCAACGTGTATACCTACTCACACTTGGACACACCAATGAAGACACATACAACAACAAGAACCGCCATTCACCACTAAGTGGTGATGACGTCCCCACGGCGCTTGTGCCAGGCTATGTGCACGTAAAGGACATGTGAAGTGTCGAACGCCCGCTGGTAGGAAGTCACGGGGCAGACCCAGATGCCACGAGTCGGCTGACTGAGATGACTGGCCAAATCACCACCTGTGCCCCCTACTGTGCCAATTTGCTGTGCTTTAGCTGCCTGGCGCTCCACTCATTGTGAGCGTCGCTCCTCTGGCCTCCGTTGTTGTTGGAGGGCGACTACCTCCAACTGCCCAGTAGCTTCCTTCATGAGCCTCCTCCACATAGGTGGATCTTGACACCGCTGGTACCAGTCATCGGTAAGTACACTCAGCTCCACATCATCTTGTACCACATCACTCCATCTCCTCTCTAGCCCATTCCACGCTGTTTAGCCCCTCTATCCGGCTGAACAAAAGCTGTTTAGGCATGCCGTAGCTGGGCATGCGGGCTACATGACCCAGCCAGCGCAGTCTTGCCTGCTGGAGGAGCTCACCGATGGGACTTTGTCGAAATCTTTTAAGGATTTGTGAGCTCCTCACACAATCCAGTCTGGTTAAACCCAGGATGGATCATAGGCAGGCCAGCCTAAATGTTTCTCACCAGAAAAGATGTTCCATTAGGGGGGTCCACCACATTTCACAAGTGTAGAAAAGGGAGGGCATCACTGTGGCCGAGAAGACCCAAAACTTTGTGTGGAGCGACAGACCAGGTAGCTTCCACACAGCGTTACACAACCGATGAAAATATAATGCCGCTTGACTGGTTCGGAGTGAGACTTATGCTGTCAAACCGGAGCCGGTCATGAGCACACTGGCCAGGTATCGGAAACTCTCCACTCTCTCCACAACTGCCCCATCACCAATTGTGAATCGAGGGGTTTGGAGTGTCTGATGGTACAAAATACCCACGCAGGTGCTTAGTTTTGTTGGGGCTGATGGAAAGGCCCCACCTCTTAGTGGCATGCTCCAGGTTCAGCAGCAGTGCCTCCAACTCCTCCTCTGAGTGAGCAGCAATTACCAGATCATCGGCATACATAACGTGGTTGACCAATTGGGAGCCATCCCTTGACCGCACCGGGCATCGATCAGCCTCCCATTGTATCCGTACCAGATGGAAATGCCTCCGGCAGCCATCGAAGGCTTCACAAACTACGTGGTCAAAATAGATGTGAAATAATGTGGGAGCCAGAGGACATCCTTGACGCGCCCCAAGGTGAACAGGGAATGGCTCCGACTCCCGGCCACGTAGTTTTACTCGAGCCTGCTCACCATCATGAAGGTCCTTAATGATTGTGAGCAGAGAGTCGGGGACTCCGAAAGCACGAAGAACGACCCAGAGCCCAGCCCTACTGATGGTATCATAGGCCTTGACCAGGTCAATAAAACAGAGATGTAGGTCTTGTTGGTATTCCCTACACCTCTGCTGTAGCAGACAGACAGGAAATATGGCATCTGTGCAGGATCACCCTTTCCTGAAACCACATTGGGGCACCAATGAAGACATGAACATACACACACTCGCACACACCCATCAGTATGCAAAACACTAACTTCACACACACCATTAACACACATACCCTACCGCTCCCCACACAAACATACACACCATCAACGCACGCATGCACGCACGCACGAACGCAGGCGCTTCGGATGTCAGAAGGAATGTGTTCTGTGGCTTTGCCCATCTATTTTAGTCTAGCTAGCAATGAGCGTGGCGCCAGCGTGTGTGCTCGTGGTGCCACTGCAAGGGACCTGAGGGGGCCCGGCTTCCCTCCGGCACCGCATCACTGAGCTACGTCCGGTTCGATCCGAGTCACACGAATAATCGCAGAGTGGGTGCAGTCATTTGGCAACTGGGTCCATGTTGGGGGGGGGGGTACGGTGGGGGGGTGTCTCATCCCTGGTCAAATCGCCCTTATCCAGACGGAGGGAGGAATTGAGTGGGCGAGATATATGCAGGCTCCTAATTGGTATACTCTCAGAACCAAACTCTGTCATGTTTTAAAGTACACATGCGCTTCACACAGCACCTGCCTTCCCCTCACAGGCTGTTGTGAGCCGTGGAGAATTATTGTACTTATGTGGTAGTGACTGTGTGTGTAGGTGCCTCATTGGCGAGATTTTAAATCCCTCACCCGGTGTGCAGGAAGTCCTGGGTATAATTCTGGCCCTGACGCCTGTAAATTTTGAGTTTTCTTGTTCTCACCGTGGTCGTGTGGTTTCTTCTCGGGGTCCTCTGGTTTTTCAAATTTTGAAATACGCATTTATTTGGCTGCTATATATTTCCACATGATAAGCCACTTCGTTGAGGTGTCATTTGTGATAATCAGGTTGCTTCTGAAAAAGAGCAATAAAGTTTTAGTGTAATAGTTTAATGTGTTTGCATGGTCATGTTGTGTCTTACTCGAACAGATGGTTAAGGATCCATTGTCCAAAGGGGGTGGTTGTCTCTCCTTGGGTTGGGGGCGTGGCGGGTGAGGGGCCAGCCGTGTGTGTCTAGTCTCACCCCAGAGTGCTGTCCATCTCTAGATTTTCTACCCAGAGTGATGTATATCTATAGCCATGGGGGGCTGCCATGAGCCTCTACCCATGGAGCCGTGCTTTTCTACCCAGGGTGCTCTGTGCGTTTTTACCCAGAATGCCGTGTCCAACCCTGCAGCATGATCTTGTTTAAAGCGAAGGCTACAAAAACTCATAATCGATATTAGGCAAACCTCAAAGAAATGTCAAACACTACACAGTGACGATAATGATCTCCACCATCATAAGCGCCACTATACATTTATATCTCCGTCATCTTTAGGACCATTATTATTTAAAATCTTGACTTACAGCTTGCGTGACTGCAGGAATTCATATTCTTTGGGTCTTTCGGTAAAGCGACGTAAATAGAAAAATAATAAAAATATCACGAACTATATCTATATTTTCTCCTGCCTCGGTAGCTCTCCCGATATCTTTTTTCACCTGATGACGATTGCTTGTGATTGAAACGTCGTTATATTTGTATTATTTTCTATCTACGTGGCTTTACCGAAAGACCCAAAGAACATCATGTTATGTTGTTAAAATTTAAAAGGGAGGCTGAGCCTTGAGCAGTGAGCGGGCTGAGCCCCCCTTGCAGCCCCAAAGATGCTACGGGGCTGTTGTGAGTGTCTCAGGGTGCCGTGCGTCTCGTATCTCGACACAGAGGGCCTTGTGTCTGCCAAGCAGGCCTTATTGTAATCGTTGAGGGCATCCGTGTGTCTATTTTCCGGACCAAATGAAACCTAACGTCTGGGCTGTTTGATGCTAGAAGACCTCGCGTATCGCCTCCCACACCCGCACGCATGCCACCCACATTGATTTTTGGCAAGCTCATGCATATTCTGAAGTTGTCCCATGCAACACGCAAATAGCAACAGGCGTTTTGCCAAACAACCCGAATTAGATCTGGCAATCGCTCTGTGCTTGCGCGTGCGTACGTATGCACACACACGCCCCACCGCACGTACACACAGAAATAAGAGCACATACGCATTTTGCCACAAGTACACAGTACTTAGTCATACACCCGCACAGCGATAGGCATGCACAGTCACAAGTAGACACGCGAGTACTCTAGTCACGTACACACTCAGAGCCATGTACACACAGCTACAAGTCCACACATACTCTCCCGCAAGTAGACACACACAAGTTGACACAAATACAATCAAAACCACATGCACTTGCACACAACCACACATACTCACATATGTACACAAGCACACATCAATGTACACACACTTTTCAATACGTATACATGCACAGAGCTGATTGAATGTAGGTGCAACTGGAGCTAGCTGGAAACTACACGTGCACATACTTGCACGCACGCACACAACTAGACATATGCATAGTCACAAACACAAAGATACAACCACCCACATGCACATGTGCATGCACAAAGACACAGACACGTACACACAAATCACACGCACACAGGCACATAGAGACTCAATATGCAGACATAGCCACATGCCATCACACACATGCACACACAGCCACTTGTACAAACATACAATGGCACATACACATCTCTTGAACACAACCACACATGTACATAGAGATACACTAATGGCCATACACTTAAAGATACTTACACAAAAGCAATTGAACGGGCACGCACATATCCACCGAAACAGGCACATACACACGCAGTTATACACAATCACACAGCCACGTGTACAGACATGCAATCACACACGTGCACACCCAATGACAAGAATCACAAACAAATCACACACAAATACACTCACTTCCAAATACATGCATGCACAGCTACCCACACGCACATACAGCTACACACCTAAGACCACAAAACTTACAAAACGCAAAGACAAAGATCCCCCACATAGCCTACATAGGCTGTTGGGGCACTCACTTACAGACAGACACGCTCGCGCGCACGCGCACGCACACGCGCAGGCACACACGCATGGACACACAGCCAAGGGACGTAAGCTCACTCGTGAACCAAAATGGATCGGTGCTTGAGATAAGATTAACTGTGATGCCATTTCATCTGAATTTCAATCTTTCCAGAGCAGCGTCAATGAGTGTCGGCAGCGATCGGTCGTGCGCTTCACGTGGGGAAAGGCAGCTCGTCCGCACTTCAAATAACCGCGTTTCACGATAAGTGATTCTCCCCTCCTTCGCTTTTGGTTTTATAGCTGTGAGCGTGTCGGTGCCGCCGTGTTGGTGCTGTGGCAGCGCAGTTACGTAACTCCGTGGGCTCTGCTTTGTGTGTTCGTGGTTGCGGTTGGTACGACTTGTGCTTGAAACTTCATAGGCTTAACAAAAAAAATGCAAGGAATGTACTTTTAAATGATTTTAGTGTGTTTTTTTACTTTTCTGTCAAAGGGACACGTCAGGTTTGTGTTTAGAAAATTGAGAATTTATGCGCTTGGCACGCGGAGTGGATTTATTAGTCAAATAGCGGAGTGTGAGGTCCCGGGAGGTGGGAGTGGGGGAATTTAAAAATTAACTGTTGAACTCGTTTCTTTTCTTGTAAATATTATACTATGAACATATGCTGCATTCATGTGTGTGTTTTCTTTGAAGCTACGCTTCAAATAATTTGCTGTACCTTTGCTTAAGCAAAGCCCACTGGTCGTGGTGAAGGATTTTTAATGCGGGTGTGTGGAGAGTTCTGGTGTTTTCACACCAGATGAAACCACAGCGACTAGCCGGCTATGAAATGAAAGATTGAATAACATGCAGGCAGATTGTCACACAGGTTAAGGCGGCTTTTGTACATGGAAAAGGCGGTCTCAGTCAAAGTTTTCCCCAACTCTGCGGCCCCTTGCTTCAAACTTTAATTAAAATCTTCACGCGCGCCAGTAACTGATACTTGGTGTCACTGTCCGTGTTCTTGTCATTGATATTTGTGCCTCGAAAGGATGTGTGGAGTATTTTTTACATAATTTGATGTAATGGTGGTCGGTAGCAGCGCCTTACAGACTCGTCAAAAGGTTGAGGTTTTAGGTAGATTTGCTTTTTTAGAAAAGTTGTGCAATGGTAATTTGTGAACCCGGCATTCATTAGTGTAATTTGACCGTTGTTCCTTTAATAGTGCCTCGTCTTGACCTAGATAGATGACCTTTATTTATAACTAAGAGCCCATTGAGACCACGAGTCTCTTTAACCTGACTTCACATTAAGCGTCTCCGAGGATCTCGGCTCCATTTTCACTGCGTGTAAACAAAGTTAACGTTCGATTTGCCTCTCCTAGCTTCAGCCGTCTTGTCACTGTAACTTCAATAATTATTTTCAACAAAAAAATACTTTCGCCAGCGAAGCGTGCGAGATGCGTGAGGGCCGCTCTGTGGTCAGCCCTGACTGGAGGGCGGCCGCGCTAAAGAGGTCTGAGGTCGTGACCCAACAGCCCCGAGTGCTGGCGTCCGACCGGTTCAGGGTCGGCGGGTCGGGGGTGAACGGCGCGTTTTGGGTGGGCGAGACGGCCCTGGGCAGGTCGGAGGTTGCCGACCTCGGGCCAGGGTTGAGCGCGGCGGTGGGAGGAGTGAGGGCGATTAGGGGGCCGGGCAGGGCGGAGGAGACGGTGCAGGGGGTACGGTCACTCAGGCAGGACCCCGACTTGAGGGGGGAGCTGGCTACGCTGGCGAGGGGCTGCGATTTCGTTCTACCGTCCAGGATCAAGGGTCGCCTCAAAGTCAACTACCAACGTCGCAGCCCCGAGGTGCGTCCATCTCACCCCACACATACCCACGGCCGTGGTGGGGGTAGTGTTTTAACCCCATAGAATATTGACCTTGGGGTCATAACACTATGGATTCTCCGGGTTATAAGACTTTCCGGAGAGGAAGACTCATCACAAAACTTGTGCCCCGTGTTAATACAATTACACAAATATGAGTGCACACACATGCACCAACCGGATTACAATGCGCACCCCCAACTTTTGCTTTATATTATGGGGGGGAAAAAGTGCACCTTATAACCCGGAGGCATATATTATTTAGACCCCAGAGTAAATAAACGATAACTGATCGCACGGGGGTATGAATACTATATAGGGTTACAGTTACGGTTTGGGTGTCCACCCAAGGTTTCTAACAACCTTGTTCAAATTAGCCTTTGTCTATTTAAAGGTACAATACTAATAGGCTAACTCTCAACATCATTACAGCTATGAGAATAGGAGAATGATCCAAAGTGACTGTAATGTTAAACTACCATGGGAGGGGAAGTGAATGATATGCAGTATGTTGACCCCAGGTTCAGAATTCTATGGGGGTCAATATATTAATTCACAGTGGTCCTTAATAGGCACTCTCTAATACGCTTGTTAGTTGACAGTAGAATTTTCAATAATTGTATTCAGAATCTCTTCGATTACAAAAGTCACAGAATCGATGATAGAATCCGGTTCAGTTGAAGTAACAACCGAACCGATTGGCACACTCGCGCGCAAACGTTCAAATCACACTGCATGTTATAACGTCATAAGGCACTAGTGGCAGGGCTCACCATTGACCTCGTGGTACATTCCAACAGACTCGCCCACACACACACAGGGCTGGACTTTTCAATCAACATTTCAATATGGTCGGCAAACTAATAGCTAGTCAATAAAAAAAAGATTAATTGCGTGTGATTATCAAAAAATGCTCGACAAACAACCCTAATTGCGCTGGCACTCGCACTTTAAGGCATTGGAAGGTTCCTGTGTGCATAAATGTATCATAGAGATGGGTTGTTTATTATTCTAGTAAACCATTACCCGACCAATTATGGCTTCGATTACTCTACTCATTGGACAGCATGAAAATAGTTTTTGGGGGGGGGGGGGTGGGGGGGAAATTGTCACTTCTGTCACCACATGTGGCACTAGACAGGAGGTGGTGGGCAGAGTTTTGTGACGTCATCATAATCATCAGCCACGTCACGCTAGGTGTGTCTCGTAGGAGGTTTCCTGCCTTCGGGGGGGCAGGATGCATGGCCAGTCGACATTTCTAAAGGGGCCCGAGTAATCTTCTGCAAAAACAGAACTCATTGCTAATTTTGGTCGATTCACCGAGAAACAGAGCCCAGCTATAAGTGCGTTAGCCATATACCGATTCCCCCCCCCCCAACCCTGCTAGCGATTCGATTAATTGTCACGATTTGGGGTGATGATTCTGTTGGATTTTGTTTGGTAGTCTCGTTTTTAGCATCTCTTGTTTGTAATGCTTATCTTAATTTCTTTACATTTCGTGTGTGCAGTTGACGCACGCACGACTCGTTGCGTGTGTCACTAGTACGAGAATAAATTTGAATCAATGCTCAGTAACGTGCCCATCACGACCGTCTGCTGATGAGTCAAAACTTGTGAAGTGCATGTGTCTCGCTCCTCAAATGAGTGTGGGGCAGCATACCATCTCTGTAGCCCCATGCCAGCAGTGGAAATTCCACAGTCCTCTGGTGGGGGTTGGTTTTTCCACAAAGTGGTACTCAATTTATTTATAGAACGGGAGGGATTATGATGATGGTCATGATGATTGGCTGGGTTGATCCTTGTCCTGGGTTTTAACGGGAAACGTTTTGCATGTTCCACGTTCGTATGATGGGGGCTGGTGTTTCCACAACCTGTTCCTACTAATTTTAGTGAACCAGAGGGATGATGATGATAATAAGTTGAGTTGAAGCTTGACTTGGGTTCGAAATTACAAGTTTTTCCTTTGTGAGAAGAGCTAACTTAACATGGCGACACCCGGCCGGTTTGATCAATGCAGGATTTTTCAAACGTTATTCCTTTGCAACTCACCATGGCTAGTCTTTCCACCTTTACAAAACTCAGCTGTAACACGTTGCACAAGCCTGATGATTGCTAAACAGCGCTCTCTGCGTCTCGTGAGACTCCAATTATAAATATGGAGATGACAGCGATGACGATATAATGCTATGATGACAATAGTGGTTATGAGGAGGATAAAAATTATACGATGAAAACGTTGTTGATTGTAATGATGACTACAACGATTATATGATGATAATGATGGCAACAGCAATTACAGTGATGTTGATGTATGCGTATCTCTGAATTCCCTCAGGCGCAGGACACACGAGAGGAGTCAAAACCCAAACCGGTCCTGCACAATCACCTCCCGCATGCTCCGGATCCTGACCCACACCCTCCGAGCTCCCGGATTCACAGCCTCAGCTCTTTCAAAAGCTCTGGGGAATCCGTTCCTCACTCTCCAGTCTCCTCGACGCGCAAGTCCCCAGCTCCAGCGCTGCGAGGATGGAACTCGCGAGGGCCGATGCCACAGAGCGTACTCATCTCCGAACCCACGCCACCTCCGCCACCGCCACCATCACTACCATCTGCAGTGGTTCAAAACAGTCCGGATCCAGATTTGCAAATTCCGATCGCCTTTGCACAAGTCCCCGAGCCGGCGAGTCCAGGCCGGGAGGGAGTGGAGGAGCAGGGAGGTGCTGCCGGTGCCGTTGTTGTGATCTCATCCACTGTGCCCCCGGCACCGGATTCAAACACTCTCCGTCCCGGTTACGAAACCCGGAATGTGGAATCTGGAGTTTTGCTTCATGATGGGGAGTCCGCTGTGGGTTTTCATGCGAGCTTGCTGTCAAGTGACGATGATGTCGGCAAAGGCGAAAGATTTGGAAAAGGAGGTGGCGGTGGAGCTAGCAGTGATGAGGATCTGAGTGGGGTGATGATTGCTTTGAAGGAGGTCTTCGGAGCTCTGCCTGATGGGAGAGCCTATCTGGATAACATGACGGATGTCACAAAGGTGCGCTGATGGGCCGATGTGTTCTATTTGTGTATGTCCATACATGTTATCGCGTGTCTTTGTTTTTTGTACATCGTTGTCGCTATCTACTGCACTTTTTATATTAAAATTGGGCCTGGGAGGATGTGTATAGTGAGTTTTGGAGTGGGCACTTTGTGTCCATGTGTGTCTGTGTTTCATTTTATATCGGGAGTGGTAGTATCGCAGTTAGTGTGCTGTGCTGCGAACTTGGCGATCCGAGTTTGATTCCTGCTCACGGCCAACACCAGTGACGATTATCTGAACCGGTCCTCGGGCTCCCCTAGGTCGACTCAATCTCAAAATGAGTACCTGGTATGGTGTATAAACATCACCACTGGACAGACAAAGGCAGCCAGATGTGAAGTTGGCCTCCCACTGCCTCGTGTGCCGTGCCGGCCTTCATAGGTGCTCGCTAACAGTACTTGCCCCATCAGTTTGGTCAGGTTATACGGGGGATCTTTGTAATTAACTGTATATGTGACAGTCTGGGTTTTATTGTGTGTTTGTGTATGTCCGTATGTGTCGGGCAGATATCTGTGCATTACTATGTGTGTGTCTTTGTGTGTGCATGTCCGTACGTACCAGTGTATGTCTGTTTACCATTCAACCACTGATTGATTTTATCGCCCTTCGTGGACTTGAGAAGGGCGTTACAGAGCCTGAGACCAGGCAAGGGGCTAAGCAGATATGACCTTACAAATGAACTGCTGAGGGGGGTAGCGTGTATGTGTGCAGGCTGCCCTTTGTGACATTACAGCCATCTGGTCCACAAGATGGGTTACACAATACTGGAAGGATCATAATCAGAATCTTTATTTATCTGTATTGCTTAGGCTTGGTTGTCCCCATTTTTAAGAAGGGGGGCTGCACTGATTGCAACAATTTCTGCAGCATCTACCCTACTCAGTGTCCCGGGAGAGGTCCTGGTAGGGATTATTCAAAATCGCTGCCACTTAGTAGCGGACGGCGATTGTTGCCTGTTTACATTTGTCTGTATGTGTTAGCGTGTTTCCATGAATGTCCATTTATGTGTTTATTGTGTATCTGTATTTGTGTGTCCGAGCATGTCATTGCATGTCTGTGCATGACTGTGTGTGCCAGTGTGTTTGTTTATATCCATACATGTCAGTGTGGGTTTATGCGTGTCTGTGTGTGTTTCTGTGTGCTTTTGGAAAACGTGATTTGATCATGAAAAGCAAGATACCAATGTGCCTAAAGACACTGCACATTACTTGTTATGCCGAAAAATCTGCAAAGAATCATGGAGAGACTCATGTCGGCAATTCACTAGAGAGAAAGATGAATGCATGAATATGAGAGCACAAATCAGAGACATGTTGACAACTGCTAAAAAAAAATGTGGTCTTGGGTAGGTCACATGGCTAGAAGGTTTGACGATGGCTGACGAACGAGACTAGCAATGGAATGGCATCCATGCGCAAGAGCAAGCGGGATTATAGTGTCACAAGACCTTGCAGGATGGCAACGGCATGGGGAGGCCTCCATCTAGCAGTGGATGGACCCTGGCTGACGTGCTTTCCCTGTTGTGACGAGGTGTGCAGGCGTGCAGGTGCTGCCCCTACTGGAGAGTTGCCCTCTTTCTCGCCGCCCATGGGGAGGAGACTGGATTCGTTACCATGGAAACCTTCACCCTGACCTGGTTACGGTGAGGGCTGCTCAACTTCCCAGCATGCACTGGGCTCAAACAGGGTCTCGCCTTCCCAAAATTCACCACAATGAATGAAGACTCACATACCCAGCATGCACTAGGCGTAACAAGGGCTGTTAAAGATCCGGTGATGTCATTCGGAAAAAGTCGGCCATTGTGTGCCGGTGTCATGGTCTAATTAAATAAATTACCTGAAAAGTACTCAATTGAGATTACACACAGCACCAACATTGCTCCCAACTGGCACACTATACAGTATCAGTTAAATTTAGTGACTTCACAATAGCCCTGTGCCATAAGAATGGCGCAAATACCAAATCTAAATTATTATGTGCCACGCTTAAGACAATTACAAGTATGCACATGAGTACAATCATGTGCACAAGCAAGCGATATTGCGATGTTGGCAAAACAAGTGTGTATATGCGAAAGTGTGAGAGCGCGAACGAGTGAGAAGAAATGTGTGTATGGGCGTGTGTATGAGTGACCAAGTGAGCGTCCATCCTCGCCACATCGTCCACCATAAGGTGACGAGTGTATTTTTGTGTACGGGTTTGTGTTCAAGTGTGAGCGTGGTAGTGAGTTAGTAAGTGGTTGAGTGTGTATGAGTGAGTGAGTCGTTAAGTGTGTGCATGAGTGCGTGTGTGTGAACGTGTGCGTGAGTACGTGTGCGATTGTGTGAGTGTGGGAAGCGATAGTGTAGCGGTTAGCGCATTGTGCTAATCGAGTTCGATACCTGCTCACGGCCAACAACAGTGACGATTATATGAATCGGTCATGGACCTCCCCTAGGTCGACTCAGCCTCAAATGAGTACCTCGTGTGGTGTGTAAACATCACAGCTGGGGAGACAAAGGCGGCCGGGCGTGGTGTTGGCCATCCACCACCTCGTGTGCCATGCCAGCCTTCAAAAGTGCTCGCTAACAGCACTTGCCGCAAAAGTCTGTTTAAGGCGGTACGGGGGATCCTTGTCTTTGTGTGTGTATGAGTGATTGCGTGTGTAAGCGACTGATTGAGCCGAGCATGTGTGTGTGTGCGTATGAGTTAGCGATTGTATGTGTCTATTTGAGTGAGTGAGCGAGCGAGCGAGTGAGCCTTACCACAACTTGTCCACCACAGGGTGACGAGAGCGAGTGAGGATGACGCGGCGAGGTTCGTGTCGCTCCTGGCTCGGCCCGGGGTGGCTGGACTCACCCAGGAAGACTTCATCCCCCTTGTGCAGGTGTGGAAGCGGATAACACAGAGCTACATTTGAGATGTGTTCAAATGACGTGTGGTCCACACAGTAGGGGCGACATATTCAGAGTCACCTTGCTACCGAGAGTAACGCTCGTTGAAATTGTCACATTACGATCAAAACGATATTTTTTATTTTCCCAGCTGGCATTGAGCCAAATTAGGTATAGAGCCAAAATCACTGTGGTGGGTTTTATTGTGCAGTCATTGATGACTGGGCTGAGACCATCAACTCTCTACACTTGAGAACCCGGTTTAAATATAGACTATAATTTAAACTGAGGGTCTCAACGGTGCTTGCTCAACGTTCTAACCTCTTGAGAAACCTAGCCACCTCTACAACTCAACTGGAGATGATGATGACGACGACGATGATGATGGTAGCAATGGTTGTATATGATATTTATGATGATGATGGGGATAGCTATTAAACATATAGTGATGCATCGATTCATACATTTAAACCGATTCTTATGCTCAGGATACATGCATTGAATCATGTGCATCAGAGCTAAAAATGTACAGCATGTGCAAATTATATGCAAAATAATTTATACTCTGGTTCTTTCGGTAAAGTCACGTAGGTATAAAATAAAATAACTCACGACGTTTTGGGCGCAACACAAGCGTCCATCATCAGGTGGGAAAGCCTTGGTCTGCTGCTGAGGCAGACTGTTTTAAAAGGTTTGAAATAGGTGTAGCCCAAGGGTCATAAAGAAGTGGCCGGGGCTAGTGATGTTAATGTGAGAAATTAGCATGTAACTGTAAGATAGGAAAGCGGCCTCCTCGAAATAATTAATGTTGCGTCTAAGTGCAACTTCATTTCCAAACACTTTACAGGGGTAAGATATTTTTTGTTGCTAAATTGACATGAAAACAAATGGCTCTTTAGTCTTAACTTGAACAAGGGCAAAGCCTGTATGAATTTCAAGAGGAAGTGAATTCCAGACAACAAGAGCAGAAACTGAGGAGCGACTTGGAACAAAGGTTGACTGTGGGCTTTGTAAGAATTTAGCAAATGTTACATTCACTCTCATACAGGCTTTAAAACTGTACTAACGATGCAGAAAAAACTTAGTCCAAGATAACATCGTGTAAAACGACAGGAAAATCTCAACCCTGACTCGTGATGATGATGATGATGAGTGCTTTCATGTATTCTAGGACATTGTGGACACTCATCCAGGGCTGGCGTTTCTAAAAGACGCTCCGGAGTTTCACTCGCGTTATATAACTACGGTAAGGCACACACGGGCTTGCACATGCACACAAAGATCCCCTGTGTAGCCTTTAACGGACTGTTGGGACAAGTGCTGTGAGCGAGTGCCTATGAAGGCCGACATGGCACACGAGGGGGTGATGTAGCCAGCATCACGCCCAACCACCTTTGTCTCCCCAATGCTGATGTTTATACACCGCACTGGTTACTCAATTAAGGCTGAGTACTAACTAAACTATACCAAAATATTTTTTATATTACCAGGTAAGGGCCACTGAGCTATAGAGCTCTTTTTCAGAAGTGACCTGGCCACAAATGATAGCTCAACGAAGTGGCATATCATGTGGAAATTTATAGCAGCCAAATACTTTAAATGCATGTTTTTTAAATGTGAAGGAAAGAACTGGAGGACCCAGAGAAAAATCCACGCAACCTTGGGGAGAACATGCAAACTACAAATATACTGGTGTCAGGGTTGTTAACATCTCGCCACTGAGTCGACCTAGCTGAGGGCCAGGACCAATTCAGATAATTGTCACCGATGTTGGTCGTGAGCGAGTTCGTAGCGGAATGCGCTAACCACTGCACTGCCACTCCCCACACATGCACACGTACACACAAAAAAAAATAACAGCTGCCACTCTCCACTAAGTGTTGGTGACACCACCACAGCACCTGTGCAAGCTAAGAGCACTTGGAATGCTGAAGACTCAAGAGCAACAGGTCACAGGACACACCCAGATGTTATGGGTTAACTGACCAGGGTGACTGATACGCGCGCACACAGACACAGAGCCGAAACACTGTTTTTGTGGGTGTCCCTCGACATGCTTATGATTGTGTGTGTATGTATACATGTTTTTGTGATGATGTGTTTATACACTGCTGTTATCTGGGTGTGCATATATGCGTGTGTGCATGCGCGTGTGTGTGTGCGTGTATGCACCTGTAATCACGTGTTTACGTGCAGATATGTTTATGTGCGTGCGCACATGTTTGCATTCATTATCCCTAGGTTATCCAAAGAATATTTTACACAGTCAACCGATCGTGGAGTGGACGAATTACAGTTAACGAGCTCAGGAGAAGTAACTTCCTTCAAGTAAATAACATCACATTCATCATCACAATCATCACATTCATCATCACAATCATCATCACAATCATCATCACAATCATCATCACCTTCATCATCACAATCATCATCACATTCATCATCACATTCATCATCACAATCATCATCACATTCACCATAACTTCCACCAACTTTTACAACCACTATCATCATCTTTGTCAAAACAAGCATCACCATCACAACCTTTTTCAGTGCAACTGTCCCCATTATGATGTAAGGATGAATACATTAATTAATTAAAATTGATTGTTAAGCTTACAACATGCTGTGTTTTACAAGGGAACTGCTTCATCCGCCAGCTTGTTGCGTCGATTACCGGCGCGGCAAGTGGCCAGCAAATAGCTCGGCCCGATGTACTAACCTCACAGAATAATTTTTTTGTTCCTTCTGCCTCTACTGCCATGCTGCGTGACGTGGCTAGACGCTGGCGCTGGTGGCGGAAGAAGACGACATCAACCAGGTTACAGAATACTTTTCTTATGAGCATTTCTACGTCATCTACTGCAAGTTCTGGGAGCTGGACACCGACCACGACCTCTACATCAGTGCCAGCGACCTGGCACGGCATAGCGACGGAGGTAACGCATGCCTCGCTCATTTCAACTAGACACGTCCGATTAGCACGGTTGACTACGTATGGTACGAAAGAAGTTCCAACATACATGCACGCATACATAGGGGGTTCATGATGGCCATGTCAAAGACACATTCAGACCCTGGGTTCAAATTCAGGTTTCAGATGCGTAGTGAGTTGATGGTCTCAGCCCAGTCGCTCCTGACTACACGAAAAAATGCACCACCTCTGATTAGCACGGTTGGCTATGTACTGTGTGAAAGAAGTTCAACATACGTACATCTGGACTTAATTTGTCAGTGGTCTTGGGCAGTCGCTAGAAGGGATGTTGGCCCGGTGGTCAAGGCTTAATGATGTAATGTCAGCCAAAGGAGTGGGAACGCGCCCGACAAAGAGTCCACAGTGTAGATGGTGCAATGAGATTGGCTCGTGTGCGGGTGCTGGGTGGATTATTGCATCAAGGGAGCGTAAGAGATGGTGACGGTTTGGAGGGAGGGGGGCTTCATCCAGCAGTGAAAAGATCTGCAAAAATGTGGCAAGTGTATCCAAATAAATAGGCGAGTACACACAGTACTACTAACGTGCATCTTAATTTGCATCTTCTATTTCAGCTATTTCCAGTTGCATGATTCACAGGATCTTCTCTGGGGCTGTTACACGGTAAGTGTAATCGTGAGTCTGCCTGAGTGTGTGTCTGACTATACCAAAACTTTCCCCATGGAAGGTTTTCCCATTGTGGATTTGACCATTTGCACAAAATGTATTGAGGTACAGTTCGCAATCGTGCCCTTGTCGCTCGACCATTCGCGATTTTGGCCGTGAGATTTCTGTACAGTACACATCGTAACGAGTTACTCTACAGGTACTCTAACGGCACTCTGCTCACAATAATGCTGCTGCAGAAGAATACACACGCCATCATCGTAATTGAAAATGTTTTGTTCTTTTTTTAAACTGCATATTTCCTGTACAGGTCATTAACATGTTTATTTTCAAATTTATGTGTTCAGGACTGTACACTACATTCTTTTTTTTATTCTATACGTTGACTGTACAAACTATATTTAACACTGGGGAGAATTATAACCATATTTTACTTGAAAGAAAAACTTTCAAGTAGGTTAATCAAGGGTTACATAAAACAAAAGGAGGGGTGGGTGGTGTCTTATTACGAACCTGGAACCAAACCCTAGTTGTACCCACGTGCCTTTCCAGTTTGCTGATCGAGGATATGCCAACTGCGGATATTTTAAAGAACGTAACCCCCGCGATGGGGAAGGTTTTAGTGTGTCTTGAGTGTTGTATCTTTGGAAGTGTGGGACTTTGTGTGTATATATGTGTACGCAACTGCTCAACACAGATGTCTTGGCGTGCGTTATCTGTGTCAGTTTGTGTTACGAATCTGTCTTTGTGTCTGTGTGTAGATGCACACAAATCAGGGGAGTAGTGGCTAGTGGTTAGCCCACCAAGCAACAAACCCAACCACCCGAGTTTATTTCCCAGCCAAGGATAACATCACCGTTAAGTGAAATCAGATCTGATTATGCGCCTCCCCTAAGTCAACGTGGTCTTAATTGGATACCTGATGTGGTGTGTAGACATTAGCACTGAGGAGATAGAGGCAGCTAGGCATGGTTCTGGCCACACCACCCCCTCATGTACCATGCCAGCTTTCATAGGTGATTGCGAATAGCACCCACTTGTCCCAACAGTCTATGTAGGAAACACGGGGCATCTTTGTCTTTATATGTATGTGTGTGTGTTCCAATGCTCCTGTATGACTAACAGTGAGCTGGCATTGTGTAGTGATGCCAGTTACCCTGGTCTGTTACTCCACAACGTCTGTGACTGTCCTGTAACATCCTGGCAGCGAGCCTCTCCAAACTACACCGCTATAAATATACGTATTTGTGTGCATGCATGTGTCTGTTTTAATCTTGTCTGTATACGAGTGTGTATGAGTGTTCATGTATGTGTAATGCAGCTCTCAGAGACACTATCTTGTTCAGTTATATGTATATTTATAATGAATAAAGTCCGACGATTCACTGATAATTAAACGAATAACCGCGAGTTGACTATATACAGCTGGGTAACTTCTGTGACTCTACGCGACTCTCCCCATGTAGTTGGCAGGCTACACAGGAGCAGACGTGTAGTAGTCACGGAGACAATATTAACTCTAGCCTTCCAAGACTACAAGGTGCCCGATCCAAGATGATGAAGACGATCCGCTCCAAGACGATGACCATGATGACAGCTTCTTGGTTCCCCCACAGTAGCAGCCCAGAGCCCTGTTTCACGCCGGCTTTTAGCCACTCCTCGACCCGGCCACGCCCCTTTTCCCCGAACACTCTCACCTCATCTGGGCCCGTCTGTCCCTGTCTCAATTATTATTTACGACCACTTAGGTCCCGTGCTATCCTTACGCCTGCCCCTCGCGTCAATTAATAACCACGACCATGAGGAGCTGTGCTGTTCTTACATATGTGTTTGTGTGTATGAATGTGTGCATGCCTTGTTGGCCTTCTCTATCTGGTCTTCCCTGATAGAACTTAACCCCATGGAGTAGAAAGTTAAGGGTATACAACTGTTGTGTATGTGTATTTATGTATGCGCATGTTTATATACATGTAAACCTATGTATCGTGTGTATTGTTTTTGTCCACAGCTGTGTATGTTTGCATCTGCTGGACTTGAGAGATGCTCGCTAACAGCATTTGCGTCAACAGTCTGTTGAAGGCTACATGGGGGATCTTTGTCTTTTGTCTGTGTGTACAGATATATATATGCATGCACGTGTCTGTATGTGCGGTGTTTAATCTTCACCACTGGGGAGACAAAAGCGGCAGGGCTTGTCGCTAGTCGTGTCCTACACGGACGCTCACTAACAGCACTCGCCCCAAAAGCCTGCATAGGCTTTACTGGGGATCTTTGTCTTTGCGTATAAGTATGCATGTGTGTGCGTGTGTGTGTATATATGTGCTATTAGTGGCTCCATGGCGCAGCAGGCCGGACGCATGAGCTATGCTGATTTCGTGTGGTTCCTGTTGTCGGAGGAGGACAAACGGACACCCACCAGGTACACGGACACACATGCGCATGGACGCACACGTCCACTATATGACGTGTACCCGTGGCACTCAGTCGCTCTTACCATCCCCCAAAACTCCCATCATGTGAACCCCTCGTCTCTTCCTCGCATTCCCCTCTTCCATCCGCACATCATCCCCCTCCCTCATTCCCTCCGCTCTCTCCTCCTCCTCTCGGCTCCCCCAGCATCGAGTACTGGTTTCGGTGCCTGGACTTGGATGGGGACGGCGTGCTGTCTCTCTACGAGCTCGAGCACTTCTACAGTGAGCAGGCGCAGCGCATGGAGGTCCTGGGCATCGAGCCGCTGCCCTTCTGCGACTGCGTCTGCCAGATGCTCGACCTCGTCAAGCCTGTTCGGCCAGGTGTTACGCTCGCTCACTCGCACGTGCGCACTCAATCGTTGCACCTGTATGCTTATTGGTTTGCTCACTGTCTCGGGCACTCGCTGAATCCTCTGTGCACGAGTGCACAATTACTTGCTCCCTCACTTTTGCACTCACTAGCGCGTTCATAGCTCAAGAGCTTGGCGTCTGACGTACATTTCCCAGTAGACTCACCCACTTGTTCACTCGTGCACACTCTAGTGTGCTCATGTGCACAGTAGCTTGCTTACTCACTGGTGCAATCATCTCTAATACGTTAGCACACAAACTGTTATGCTTTCCATCTCAACCACACACTCGCTAGAACAACACCCGCCATTCGCCACAAAATGACAGTGATGTCACCACAGTGCCTGGGCCAGGCTAGGCGCACTTTGAGGCCACGTGAAGTGTCGATGGCTTGTTGACAGGTCATGGGATAAAGGTGCTATGAGTTGACTAAGATGACTGGCAGATACACCAGCTGTGCCTCCAACTGTACCAACTTGCTGCATTTTAGCCACCCAGCACAGCACTCACTAGTGCACTAGCTCACCCACACACTCACTAGTGCACTAGCTCACCCACACACTAGCACACTATCCCAGCTACACACTCACTAGCACACTATCCCAGCTACACACTCACTAGCGCACTATCCCAGCTACACACTCACTAGTGCACTATCCCAGCTACACAATCACGAGTGCAACATCCCAGCTACACACTCACTAGCACACTATCCCAGCTACACACTTACTAGCACACTATCCCAGCTACACACTCACTAGTGCACTAGCTCACCCACACACTTACTAGCACACTATCCCAGCTACACACTCACTAGCACACTATCCCAGCTACACACTCACTAGTGCATTAGCTCACCCACACACTTACTAGCACACTATCCCAGCTACACACTCACTAGCACACTATCCCAGCTACACACTCACTAGCACACCATCCCAGCTACACACTCACTAGTGCACTAGCTCACCCACACACTTACTAGCACACTATCCCAGCTACACGCTCACTAGTGCACTAGCTCACCCACACACTAGCACACTATCCCAGCTACACACTCACTAGCACACTATCCCAGCTACACACTCACTAGCACACTATCCCAGCTACACACTCACTAGTGCACTATCCCAGCTACACACTTACTGGCACACTATCCCAGCTACACACTCACTAGTGCACTAGCTCACCCACACACTTACTAGCACACTATCCCAGCTACACACTCACTAGCACACCATCCCAGCTACACACTCACTAGCACACTATCCCAGCTACACACTCACTAGCACACTATCCCAGCTACACACTCACTAGCACACCATCCCAGCTACACACTCACTAGTGCACTAGCTCACCCACACACTTACTAGCACACCATCCCAGCTACACACTCACTAGTGCACCATCCCAGCTACACACTCACTAGCACACCATCCCAGCTACACACTCACTAGCACACTATCCCAGCTACACACTTACTAGCACACCATCCCAGCTACACACTCACTAGTGCACTAGCTCACCCACACACTTACTAGCACACTATCCCAGCTACACACTCACTAGCGCACTATCCCAGCTACACACTTACTAGCACACCATCCCAGCTACACACTCACTAGTGCACTAGCTCACCCACACACTTCCTAGCACACTATCCCAGCTACACACTCACTAGCACACTATTTTACTCACACACACACTAATGCACTCTCACCTGCATACTCACGAGCCTATATCCACGCATGTTTGTGTGTGCGTGCGTGCACCTGCCTGCGTGTGTGCAGCGTGCGTGACGTTGGGAGACCTCAAACGTTGTAAAATGTCACACATTTTCCTGGACACATTCTTCAACCTGGAGAAATACCTCGACCGCGAGCAGAGAGAGCCGTTCGCCATCACCCGGGTACGTATATACACACACACACAAAGATCCCCCATGTAGCCTTTACCAGACTGTTGGGGCAAGGGCTGTTAGTGAGCACCGATGAAGGCAGGCACTGCACACGAAGGGATGGGTGGCCAACACCCTGCCCTGGACGCCTTGGTCTCCCCAAGTCAACCTTGGGAAAGCCCAGGACCGGTTTCAATATGCGCCACTGTTATTGGTCATGGGCGGGAATCGAACTCGAGTCACCGGGCTTGTAACGCAGTTCGCTAAAACCACTTCACGACTGCTCCCCCACGTACACACACACTGGCCAACAAGCGATTGTGAGAGGAGGAATGAGTGACCAAGGAAGTGTGCGAGTTTTGATCATGCGAGAGAGCTTGTGCATGAAAATGAGTGTGATTGAGTGAGAAGTCATGCAAGGTGAGTGATCGGATGAGTGAGAGAATGATGGAGTAAGAGTAATTGAGTGATCAAGAGGGTGAGCAGTTGAGACGGTGAGCGATCGGGCGAATGAGCGATCGAGATAATGATTGAGTTCGTGAGCGATCGAGTGAGAGCGAGGTTGAGTTAGTGAGCGAACGAGTGTATGAGTGCCATCGTGCTTGTACGAGAGATACGTGTGTGCACGCTGTGGCCGGCCTTAATAGGTGCTCGCTAAAATCTCTCGTCCCAACAGTGTTAGCGAGTGAGCATGCAGTTAGTGAGTGAGCATGCAGTTGAGTGAGCCAGCGATTAAGTTAGCCTTCGCCGTGTTGGCGTCCGTGCGTACGCGTGCGCAGGATTTGGATGGAGACGCACCCGAACTGTCCGACTGGGAGCGTTACGCCATGGAGGAGTACGAGATGCTGGTTGCCAAAGAGTCCGAGGCGGATCAGCTCACCAAGGGGTGCGGATGTTGCGTTTGCGACGGTGATGTCACTCAATTCGAGATCATCAGTGGTTGTGACGTTAGGAATTGTGATGTTAGTGGTTGCGACTATGTTGGGGTGCCATGGTGGCGAGATGTTAACTACCTCGCCTGGTATTCAGGCGTTCATGGGTTTGATCCTGACCCCGACGCCTGTATATTTGGAGTCTGCATGTTCTCCTTGTGGTCGTGGTTTTTCCCTCCACATTAAAATTTTGGCTGCTAAAAAATGTCCACATAAGCCACATTGTTGAGCTATCATTTGTGCCCAGGTTATTTCTGAATAAGAACTATATATAGCTCAGTGGGCCTTACCTGGTAGTAAAAAAAAGTGATTATCCCCATTTTCAACAACCCCTTCCAGGACGTCCGACGAAGACATTGATGATGAAGACGACATCCTGGCGGCCGCGGAACTCGCCGGCGAAATTAACGCTCTCACCGCACAGAGCTGACGGTGACAAGAAACTCCCTCCTCCTCAATCCACGTCATTGCCACTCCACCAACATGCACTTATTTTTCCTACAACCCTCGACCACCAGCTTCCATGGCATTTGAGGGCAGGACAATCAGGGAATGCAATCCTCTCCAAGGATATCTGGGGGGAAGTGCCATCCCCTTGGTCAGTTTGAACCTTGAACCGTGTTCTGGCAGCATTTCTGCTCGGTCCACAGCTCATCGTAGTAGGTGAGGCTGAGGGCAAGGCTGAGAGCCTGGGCTATAATGCCCGGTTAATCTCGTGTAAGGCTAGAACAGCTCCAAGCATCGTTCCATCACAATCGCAGCCCTTTGTGTAAGACGGATGAACGCGTGGGGGTGTGGAGAGGGGAGACCATACACAATCGTTCCTTCTGTCCATCCGTCGGGAGAAAGCTGGACACGTTTGACAAGCGCTATTGGCACAACGCGTGAATGGTTAAGCGTGATGCATTACACGCGTGAGGTATGTGTGTGTCTCAGTCCGTATGCGGTCTCTCGTACGCAAACTTGACCTGTGTATACACCCGCGTGCCGGTGTTGGAGCTGACAGTTCTGGAAACTCGTGTTTCCGGACTTTTGTATGTTACTGTTATGTTTTTTTCTAAATTATTTTAGTTTTTTTTTCCTCCCTATCGCCATTACGTCTTGAGATGAAGGGGGGAAAAAAACGTTTGTTTGGCAACTCTCGCCGAGAGCGGTGCAACATCTGGGGAGGATGGCTGCTGAAGATGACGTCGTGGGAACTACTTACGAACTACCGTGTAAGCTTTCGTGCTTGTTATCGTACAGCTCTCCCGCGTGTTTTGTGGTTGTGGCCCACGAGCCGTTCGACGTGCCGACGTTTTACGCTGGGAGCTCCTTCAGGAAGCGAATTCGGTTGTCGTTTCGAAATGAACGTGCGCAATTTGCAGTTGCAAATCGAGAGGCCGTCGTTGTTGGCAACTTTAATTCGGTTCCTGAAAAAGCTTCCAGATCTCAGTTCGTTCAATGCCCAACGACGTGCGGGAACAGCCAGAAAAAAAACACATGGGAGGGGTTATACATCTGAAGTCGGTCACTTCAGCTGCGTCGCATCCCCCACGCGAGTGGGCAGCACCACCTCATATACTATGCAAAGAGTGTTCGGCGCATGACAATCACAGCATCGGTCAATTTAAATAAACGATTTAAGAAAACCACCAGAGTGACGGGAAGATATCTGCACAAGTGCCATCACTTTCACCCATGTTGATGTACGCTGCTGCAGGGCTATGCTGTGGGTATTGCAGTACAATCTGTGCTTGTGCTATACATATATGGCTCCACACAACAACAACCGCCATTCGCCACTAAGTGGCGGTGACGTCACCACGACGCTTGTGCCAGGCCATGTGCACCTTGAGGCCACGTGAAGTGTCGAACGCCCACGGGCAGACCCAGGTGCCACGGGGGTCACGGGGCAGACCCAGGTGCCACGGGTCGACTGACTGAGATGACTGGCTGGTGCACCACCTGTGCCCCCTACTGTGCCAACCTGCTGTGCTTTAGCCACCCGGCGCTCCGCTCGTTGTTGTGAGCGTCGCTCCTCCGCCCTCCGTTGTTGATGGAGAGCGACTGCCTCCAACTGCCCAATAGCGTCCTTCACGAGCCTCCTCCACAGAGGCCGATCTTGACACCGCTGGTACCAGTCATCAGCAAGTCCACTCAGCTCCATGTCCTCCTGTACCACATCACTCCATCTCTTCTCTAGCCCGTGCCGTGCCCGATTAGCCCCCTTGATCCGGCCGAACAAAAGCTGGTTCAGCATGCGGTGGCTGGGCATGCGGGCTACATGACCCAGCCAACGCAGCCTTGCCTGCCGGAGGAGCTCACCGATGGGACCTTGCCCAGATCTTTCAAGGATTTGTGAGCTCACACAATCCAGCCTGGTTAAACCCAGGATGGATCGTAGGCAGGCCAGCCTAAATGTTTCCAACCGGCGAAGATGCTCCATTAAGGGGGTCCACGTTTCGCAAGCGTAGAGAAGGGAGGGAATGACCGTGGCCGAGAAGACCTGAAGCTTAGTGCGGAGCGACAGACCAGGTAGCTTCCACACAGCGTTACGCAACCGATGAAAAGATATTGCCGCTCGACTGATTCGGAGTGAGACCTCTGCTGTTAAACTGGAGCCGGTCATAAGCACACTGCCCAGGTATGGGAAACTCTCCACTCTCTCCAAAACTGCCCCATCACCGATTGGGAGTTGTGGGGGTGGAGTGTCCAATGGTACAAAATACCCAGGCAGGTGCTTAGTTTTGGTGGGGCTGATGGTAAGGCCCCATCTCTTAGTGGCACGCTCCAGTCTCAGCAGCAGCGTCTCCAACTCCTCCTCTGAATGAGCAGCTATTACCAAATCATCGGCATACATAACGTGGTTGAGCAATAGGGAGCCATCCCTTGACCGCACCCGGGCATCGATCAGCCTCCCATTATATCTGTACCAAATGGAGATTCCCCCAGTACAGCTATTGAAGGCTTCACGAACTACGTGGTCAAAATAGATGTTAAATAATGTGGGAGCCAGAGGACATCCCTGTCGCACCCCAAGGTGTACAGGGAATGGCTCTGACTCCCGGCCACGTAGTTTTACCCGGGCCCGCTCACCATCATGAAGGTCCTTAATGATCGTGAGCAGAGGGTCAGGTACTCCAAAAGCACGAAGAACAACCCAGAGCCCAGGCCTACTGATGGCATCATAGGCCTTGACCAGGTCGATAAAGCAGAGATGTAGGTCTTGTTGGAATTCCCTACACCTCTGCTGTAGCAGATGGACAGAAAATATGGCATCTGTGCAGGACCGCCCTTAAAACAGCATTGGGGCTCCGCAAGCCTCTCCTCAGCGTGCCTGGCAAGGCGATGCTGAATAATCCTTGCCAGGACCTTTCCCGGCACACTGAGGAGTGAGATGCCCCTGTAGTTGTTACAGTCTGTGCGGTCCCCCTTCTCAGAGAGGGACCACCAGGGCATCCTTCCAATCCTGCGGAACCCGTCCAGTGGTCCAGACTGTTGTTATGATGTCATATAGGGCAGTCTGTGCACAAACGCCACCCTCCCTCAGCATTTCGCTTGGGAGATCATCTCTGCCCGCTGCCTTTCCTGGTCTCAGACTCCGGATTGCCTTCAGTATTTCCTCAACAGATGGTACTTCAGCCAGCCACTCACAGGGGTGACTTCTTCCAATGATTGAGGCACCGCAGCCTCAGCAGGGTCATCCTCACTTTGTGCCACGATGTTTTCCTGGCTGAGGGATTTTCCCTCCCCCAGGACCTCACAGAAATGCTCAGCAAATCTGCAAACCTGTTCCTCGGGGTCGGAGATTGGATCACCGTTTTTTCCCCTGATGGTAATAGGTGTGGCGCTGCAGGTTACTTTTTTGATGGAGCACTGACAAGCGTGGTAATGTACGGCAAAATAACCTCCACAACCCACACGGCATGGGGAGACCCTCAACCAGAAGTGGCTTGACAAAGCGCTGTACATTTGTACGTACAATTCCAGGTTTGGTAGACCTCTATGAGAAGCAGTGGCTGATCCAAGTCGTTCCATGAATGTTATGGACAAGGCTGCTTTGGCTTTTCCTGGGCAAAGTACTGGTTCGACAGTCCAAAGGGGAGGAGAGCATATCCGACGGCTGCCGTTATAACAAAAAACTAAACTTGACCAGTTCTCTACCTTGAGCCTGCTTTTTGAAAGCAGGCAGATGTCTGAGAAATTTAACCAGCACACGTGGTGAGCTCGCAGCCCTGGCCAGTTTTACACAGCCACCCCTACACAGAGACCAGCGCGGCGGGGGGGGGGGGGGGGTGAACTTGGGTTTTTGGCTCACATTGGTCCCGCTCGCTCTACCCACTACACGCAATTAGCCCTGCCCTCTGCCCAAGCAGTACTCCAGTAACGTTGGAACGTTTGGCCCAGCGTTCCAGTTTGCTGGGACGTGTGGTGGGGCTTGCGTTACACACGAAGGCACGCGTCGTTGAAGCGGGGGGGGGTTGTGTATTTTTTATACGTATTCGTTTATTTTTCTTGTAAAAGGCTAATGTTAACACTAGGTCAAAAACACGTTACACTGGGTGTTAATACAATGATCAACGCGGACACGTACACATGGACACGTAATGTCATCGCAGCCTGCAAGGTGCCTGTTTGAGGCCTTCACGGGACACGTGTGAACCAGCACCACGCACAGCCGCACGTCCCCCACGCCCAGCCGCCTTTGTCTCACTCCCACTACTCGTAGTTAATTTGTATCCACACCAAAGCCGCCAACACCACCGCCACAAGAGGTGATACTCATTTAGGGCCGAGTCGACCAAGGCGAGGCCCAGGTCAGAGTCTATGCACAAATGAGCCTTTGGTGATGCTCATCTTTCTTGGTCAAATTCCAGCAGTAGTGGAAATTTCACATTCCCATGGTAGGACCCAGGTCATCCATAGGGCAGATCGTAATTGACCAGTGGTGGTAATGGTAATGCTGCTGGTGACGATGATGGTGGTGGTGGTGGTGACAATGGTGGCGGTGATGATGATGGTTGGTGCTGTTAGCTATGAAGGCCAGCACGGTATACGAGGGGGTGGGTGGCCAACAGTCTGTTAAGGCTATATGAGGGATCGTAATATTTGATGATGGTGGTGGTGGTGGTTGTCACGGTCAGGAGTTGAACTCAGGTGGTCGGGACAGTGGGGCAATGTGGGCACCACGACCACATCAATACGCACACACAAACCCACAACCCACCATTACGACGATGATTATTAAGTTTAGCTGCCACGCAACTTGGGCTGTCAAAAAAGATTCAACATCACGGTAGCTCTTGAGCAATTCCTCGGAGCCTCAACAACCCATCGAAATGAATGGTAATTATACAAACAAATCAAATCGTATCATTACAATGATAGCAATTAATATAATCATCACCCCCAGAAACAATGTGTTCACATCCCAGGTTAGGGAACCTCCCCTCTCCAAACTAATTTTTATTTTTGTCACGGTTGTAGTTCCTTTAATAGGGGCCACCAAACCGAAGCAGCTGCAGTCTTCAAAATCTAATTATTTGTTGGTAATTAATTAATGAGTTTTTATTTGCAGCAAGTCTTCGGTATCTACAGCACCCTTATCCCCTCCACTCACGAGTCGTGTTGCCACTAAAGGGCACGAGCATGGGTTTGAACTCTGCTAATCCTGCACGTCGTCAGAGGCGTTGGAAGTGGCATAGCGTGGTGCAGTGGCAATACCTCCACACTCGATAGTACCTACGCCACCGGGTAGTCTGGGTCGTAGTGTGGTCGAGTGGTAGTCAGCGGTGTAGTGTGGTTGGCATGGACCCCTGGTAAAAGGCATTCATTTGCCTCCACTGCCCCCTGCCCCTCATTAAAATTTCCTGTCGGAGCAGAAAGTGACCTGAATGGAATCTTGTGATTCCCACCTGACCAGAACCCACCACCAATGGAACAAGCGAGATGGGCCTGCGACAGGATAGAGCCGCTTTGGGACCTCATCTTAACCACGAGACTCCGAGTCTGAGGAACCCAACTCAAACCCAGGCCCTGGAGGAGTTGAGTCGGTGAAATTCACCGTCACTTAGCAAAAGTGATGCAGCAGTGAGCACGGTTCTTGGTACTGCACTATGAACCCCGGCGTCCCCAGTTCAATTCCTGGCCTTGGGCGAACGTCAGTAAATATCCGAAACAGTCCTGGACTCTCTCATTTCGCCAACCAGCGTTGACCGGCGTGGTGAAGTATGGTCAAACAGCCCAACGACCAACACGGCGTGGGAAGCCTTCAACCAGCAGTAAATTAAAATGTTTTAATTATAATCCTCTACATCCCTAACCTGACATCTGTTCCATCACCAACCGTTTTACAATAGTTTGGACGCTTCAGTCATAACAATCGTCCTTTATTAACCTTGGCAAGCCTCACCGAGTCTCGAGACTCATTCAGGAGTGTCCTGTATTATGATGTTTGGCCAAGGAGTAAATTGTTATCGATTTGTCTGCGAAGGAGCCTGGACAAAATCCATGCAGCATACGAGGGGAAACGCCACTCAACATTCCACTACACACAAGGGTTCAACAATGACATCGACCGACTTGCCGCACTGCCACCTACAGACACCACATTGATAACCTGTGCGGGTCCGGAATCCCACACATACAAACCTACTTTCTGTATTTCCGTCTGCCGGCAAGAGTTGCTTACACACACGAGATGCGAGTATGGTTTGCCACCGGTCATGGTTTTCCCAGGAACCTCCTCTGGTATAGGAGGCAGCTGTTCTGGGAAATGTGTAAGTCTTCCTGGGACATTAAAAGTCCACGTTTTTTTGTTTATTGCATAATACTACGCATTTATGTGTCGTTCTCGCCCTCCGCTAGCACCGAGATTTTATTACTCCCGTTGAACGTCCCCCCGCATTATGTACCTCAAAAATGGCAACTTGACACGTGTGACTAAAGGGGCGCATGTATAACTTGTACACAACACAAAACTGTCCAGGCATTCCCCACACACAGATACTTCACTTCGAGTTCAACCTGGATCCGCGAGTCTCAGGGTGAACCCCCAATTCAACCCGCCAATTCATTGAGCGGGAACCATCAAGAGAAACCTGAAGTTCCCGCATTAGCTCAACGATTGCCTTCATGTGTGTATAAATCATATATTACGTATTATTATAAAATGAAATGTAAAATTTATGGCGGTGTTATTTAATTTACAATATTGTGTTTTTTTATTTCTTTGATCACGATGCAGGAGCTTCTGCGGATTCCAAACCGTTCATTCGCCATCAGGGATGGTGGGCGGGGGGGTCCGTTTACAAATGAGTCCAGGTGACATCCACCACGTGTCCAAGCACCCGTGGGTTAGGTCATGGTTAATCCATTCACACTTTTTGTTTAAACGTGTGGGTAGGAATAGGGTTACGTCATGGCTTAACCACAATCTGGGTGAGGCTTAGGGTTCGGGTTTATTCAAGGGTAAACCGGTCCACATCACGGATGCCAGTCAGGCTTCAGTCATAAATCAGCGACTTAAGGTTGAGGGTCGGGGTTTCGTGACGGTTAAGCGAAGGTTACAGACATGACCCAAAACGAACGTCTCCGTTCTCTTGTACCCATGCACTTCCGGGGCTATGCCCTGGCACTGTTCCACATGAGTCTGAAGCTTCGTTAACGAGAACAAAAAAAAACTTCGTGAAGTTACGGTCAGGGGTTCTTCAGTCACTGCAGCGGCGTCACCCTGACACCTTGCAATGGGACGATCCGCGAATTCGCGTACATACACTTTAAAAGATGTGGGTGAATGTTTAGAGTAATTATGTCACGGATTACTTGGGCGCATAGCACGTTAACCAAATAGGACTTTGATTCGGACAGGAATAACGTGTCCACCACCGTTAACGCTCGTAAAAACACCACGGTTGTCGGACGGACTCGGACTGCCGTTTTCACCTGCGCCAGGTTGGTGGGCGATTCGTGCGGGCATCGAACCATCCCCCACTTGCTCCACACACGACCCATACTTCCTAAAAACCACAGATAATTATCTTTCAAAATGACACCCCAAAATGCAATATTAAAGAGGATGATATGGAACTTGGCCCACTGACAGAAAACAGCAGCTGGTGTTGTGGGGGGGGGGCTCGGTTGCGTGAACAAACTACTTGAGGGATCCTTCGGCATCTACCTAACGCCGTGCCAATTCAGGGAGGAACTCTCACTCGAGGTGTGTTTTTTTCAATGCCCACTGCCCGCAACAAGAACGCAGGAGGCGAGGGCGCGTGGGTTCAGGGCCAGCTGGCGCCGCGGCGAAAGTCGCGGCGAGAGCGCCGCGTTCAACGCCGCTCCGAGATTTGTCATCGGCGCTGCCGCCGCTTCCAGAAGCATGCGAGACCCTCCCCCTGCGTCCAGTTCAATATTCGCTCGATCAACTAAACAAAACCTACTGCAAAAGAGAAACCTGCTCTGCTTTGCCAGTGAAAATGAAAGTTGAGTGCTTCATTTTTGTTCGTCAACAAAACATTTTTTGTTGTACGAGGATGACGGAGAAGTGACAAAGGTGATGACTCTGCAAAAGGGAAAGTGGAAAAGGAAAGATGGATACCAATCGATCATCTCACTCGTGACAGTCTTCTTGCACGTTGATCGATGTCTCTGTTGAACAAAGACCCCGTGTCGTGGTGATCTCGGTCGAGCCGTTTGCCACACTCGTCGATCGACTGCTGGTCGATGATCGATTGACCTCGCGATTCGATGGGTCGCGACAAATCGGTCCCTCAATTCCAGACCAAGTGGCCGCAGGTTTTACTCGAACCGATTTACGCACGACGGCTACACACCGAGGAGTCCAATAGTCCACGCTTGCGGATTAAGACTCGTCGATGTTGATGGACGTTAATTCATCGCTACCTCCTCGACTCACAATCACTGAACCCACACCGCCTCTGTTTCCCCAGGATGTAGGAGGGAATATCTCTCTTAAGAGAGAGGAGGAATGGAGAAGTCGGAGCCTTCGTCGGGGGTTACCACCATTCTCGAGCGGGTCAAGGAGGTGAGACTTCCTGGATTTGAATCCAGCAACTCAGCGGTGCCACTGTAAGGGAATATAGGACCGTGCGAATACCGGTTGCCCCAGGAAATAGTTGATTATCCCTAGGAACCAATATTTGGAGATCTTTATTAGCATGTATGTATCCGTGCATTTTCACGATATTTAAATTTAAAACCAATGTCCAAAATGATTTGGGATCCAGTGGCTCAGGTTGCTTTTGTTATAGTTTCAGTGTTTTACTTTTTCAAGCATCCGGTTAGTCTGAATGTTATCTTAACCATTGTAGTGCCTGACTAACCATCATCCGGAAAGCTAACTTAATCATAACTTATACTTCTAAGGCGCAATTCGCTCAAAAGTACACGGGGTAGTGGAAAACAAATGTTCGCCGGTGGTAAAAAAAACATGTATTCGTTCCTTTGGAGGGAACGAATGTAGAAATGTCTGTGGGGAGTGTAAATATATTCTCTGTGACACCAGCTCAGGATCACCAAGCTCCTGGCCACTTCCTCCAATATTCAGTCACAGCACCACCACCTCCTGCCAAGACACCACCACCACCACCTCACTCCACCACTGCCACTTACGAAGCCCATCGCTTTGGTGACCAAGCATGGACAACACTTTCCCACCACCGCTACTGCTAAAAACGAATATTTAAGCGTAGAAAACAAACGCGAAGAAGTTGACAGTGATGTCCCCCCTAGCCCCCGCCTGACAGCACGTGCGGCCACCAACACAAAAGGCTGTGCGCTTGCTGCATGAATGTGTTTAGCATGTGTGTGCGGGGAGCGGTAGCGTAGTGGTTAGCGCACTGCGCTACGAACTCGGCGACCCAAGTTCGATTCCTGCTCACGGCCAACACCAGCGACGACTATCTGAACCGGTCATGGGTCTCCCCTAGGTCGACCCAACCTCAAACGAGTACCTGGTGCGGTGTGTAAACATCGCCACTGAGGAGACAAAGGCGGCCGAGCGTGGTATCGGCCACCCACCCCCTCGTGTGCCGTGCCACCCTTCATGGGTGCTCGCTGGCAGCACTTGCCCCATCAGTATGTTAAGGCTGTACGGGGGATCTTTGTCTTTGTGTGTGCGCGAGCACGCGTGTGCACGTGTGCGCGAACATCGAGTCCCCCATTCAGTCGGTAAACGCGCCGGCGGCATAAAAACACTGCGCCGCTCAATCACACAGCGTCACGCAGGGACAACTGCCATCAGGGGATCCCCTAGGTAAAAAAAAAACTGCCGAGACTTTCGTTAGATTACGGGCGCAACACGCGAACACGAGTTGTTGTTACTGGTTCTGGCGCCGCCGTGGGCGCCGTTAGAATGTTCCGCGAGACCTCCCGACGAGGGCACACGAAGCAGCGTCCACCATCCCCACCCCCGCGACGAGGTCACGTGATGTCAATATCCTCATCGCCGTCCTTCCCGTCGAACCCCGGGCCGGCCGCCACGCTAAGAAACCCGGCGCTGCTCAGGCCAAGGTTCAGACCGATGCCGAGGCCCAGGCTGCCGTACCCGGCGGCGCCGCTGCCGCCGGTGGCAACGCCGCCGCCGAGACCGCCGACCGATCCCCCGCCGGCACCGCCGCTGCCAAGTAGCCCCAATCCGTACGGCGAGCCGGCGCTGGAAAACACCGCGCCGCCGCCAACGCCGCCGCCGCCCGCCACCGAAACCGACATCATCGTCCGAGCTTCGGCCATGAGGCTCCCAAACTGCGAGGAGAGCCCCCCGGTGCCGCCGGTACCGCCGGCGACGCTCGCCGAGCTGACGACGGCGCTCACGGTGCCGTGCAGGCCGAGCGCGCGCTGCTCGCTCGCCAGCGCAATCTCCGGCACCGCGAACGCCTCCAGCTTCTTGCGCCCGTCTTCCGAGTACGAGTTGTTGCAACCGCGGCACACGCACTCGGTGCAGGCGCGCCGGTTCGAGTAGCACGGGCAGCGCTGGCCCCGGCACGTCAGCACGCTGGGGTTGGGCGTGGCACGGCCGCACTTGCAGCCTTTCTTCGTCGTCGCCGTGGTCGTCGTCGACGAAGACGACGACGTCGACGACGCGGAAGAGGTGGTCGCGGTGCCACCGGTGGCGGCGGAGGAGGCCGCGGAGGGAGGCGGCTGCATCGTGCCCGAGGGGACGCCCACGCAGGCCGGGATGGACGATTTTTTCTTGCCGGCCGCCGCCGCGGCCGCCGCCGCCGCGGCCGCGGCCGCGTGCTGCGCCGACACCGACGTCTGTGCCAGCGACGACGAGACCAGGTAGGGGCTGCCCGCGCCACCGGCCGCTGGCGGCTTCCGCTTGGGCGGGCGTGAGGTCCCGCCGCCTCCCCCACCACCGGAGCGAGGTTTGGCGCCGTTCTTCCTGGCGGCGCCGGCACCCGCGCCCCCGTGCTTTTTAGCCGTCGTCTTCGGTGCGGGAACCGGCTGTACCGGCTTCCCGCCGACCACCACCACCGCAGCTTGCTGCTGCTGCTGCTGGTGGTGATGGTGCTGCTGGTGCTGCTGGTGCTGCTGGTGCAAGTGGTGTTGGTGATGGTGGTGGTGTTGACTGGGTAACGCTGCTGCCGCTGTCGCCGGCGATGGCTGCGGTTGCGGTGGCTGTGGCGTTGGCGTTGTGAAGAGGGCTCCGTCACCGTCTGACCGCGAGCGCTTGCGCTGGTTCTTGCCGTTGGCTGTCGTGGCGGCCGCCGCAGGTGTCGCCAAGGTCGGCGCAACCATCGGCGTCGCTGCTGTCGCCGGCACCGCCGCCACCGTTGCTGCCGCCGCTGACGTCACCACCGTCGCCACGCTGCGAGCAGCGGGATCCAGGCCGACACCACCAACAACAACAACGCCCACCGTCGGATTGGCGCCAACACCGACGGCAAAGCTGCCGCCGCTCAGCGTCTGTGACTCCAGCTTGATCTTCTTTTTCTGCTGCTGCTGCTGCTGCTGTTGTTGCTGTTTGTTCTGCAGCTGTTGGCTGAGTAGGAGTTGCTGTTGCTGCAGCTGCTGCTGCTGCTGCTGTTGCTGCAGCTGCTGTTGTAGCTGCTGTTGCTGCTGCTGCTGCAACTGCTGCTGTTGCTGCTGCTGTTGCTGCAGCTGTAGCTGCTGCAGCTGTAGCTGCTGCTGTTTGCGCTCCTCTTCCTCCTCCTCGCGCTGGAGGTTGCACGCGATGGCGACGTCGCACCGGATGACGGCGACGCGAACTTTGCGTGCGCGCCCGTTCACCAGCGGTGGCGCTGCGGCCGAACGGTCCAAGCGGGCGCCGCCTTCGTCCGAGTCCAACGCTGATGACGACGACGATGACGATGATGAAGAGGACGACGACGAAGCTTTGGAAAAATCCGAAAACCTTTCCCAGTCCGAGTTCAACTCCGAGTCCGAGTGCCTCCTCCTGTGCCGATGCCGGCGGCGCCGGCGGCGCCTCAGGTGCTCAGCGTCGCCGTTGCCGTTGAGGGAGTCGCCGTTAGACTCGGGGAAGCCCTCGCGCAGGATGGCCAGGACGTCCACCATCCCCGCACGCATCACTGCGCCGGCACCGCCGCCACCGCCGTCTGCCGCCACCGCCACCACCACGGAGCCGGCGACGCCGCCCTCCGCCGCGGTGTCGCCATCGCCGCCGCCGCCGTCGTTCAAACTCGATCCCGTTCCGGCGACGCTCCCGGCCGCGACATCGGCGGCGGTCGCACCCATCGGGGCGTCTGACCCCGCGATACAGGAGCTCCCCTCTGCGCCGCCGCCGCCGCCACCGGCGCCACTCTCTCCAGCAGCAAGGAATTCCATTCCCGCGGTGGAACCGTTTTCCGGCCGCCCGTCGCGACCGTCGTCCGGACCCCGGTCGCTATCGGCACCGGCGCCACCGCCGCCATCGCCGCCGCCGCCGCCGCCATTGCTCTCCGGCTTCGTCGCGCCGTTTTTGTCGCCGCTTTCGTCGCCGTTAGTCTTGGCGTCACCGTTGGTCACCCCGGCGCCCTGCGGCGGTTTGTCCGAGCGGCTCGCGCCGCCGCCCCCGCCGGCGTCCCCGTCGCCAGCTACCGCCGTCGTCGCCGCGGCGCAGGCGGACGTAGCGGCGTCGGCCGCGGCGGCGTCGGCGGTCGTGTCGTCGGCGGCACGGACCAGGCCGTGGCGCTCGTGGCTGGCGCGAGAGGCGATGGCGCGGCCGATGTGGGAGCCCAGCAGGTGTTCGCAGAGCGTGCGGTAGCACGCCAGCAGCAGCGCCAGCTGCCGGCACTCCGAGTAGGGGGCGTGCGGGTCGCGCGAGCACGAGCATGGGGGACGCACGCGCAGGCGCTGGCCCCGGCACGCGCGGCACACAAAGTGTTGGCAGGTGCCGTTCGCCGGCACCATCGGGTCCACCAGAAGCTGGGCTGTGGGGGGTGAGTGAGGGGGAGAGGTGGTGGTGATTGTGGAAGTGACAGTAGTGGTGATTGTGGTGGTTGTGGTGATAGTGGTGGTTGTGGTGGCAATCGGGGTGGCATTATGATAGCAGTGGTGGTGGTTATGATGGTGTTGATAGTGATGATGAATGGTAGTAATGATAGTGGTGGTTGTGATGATAGTGGTTGATAGTCACATTGGTGGTCATTTTGGTGGTAGCGATCGTGACAGTGGTGGTGATTGTGGCGGTGATCGCGGTGATGATGAAGGTGGTGAAGACGAGCGAGGACAAAGTGATGTTTATTTAGGAATGGGGAACATCGGGGAAAGAAAAACGTTAACATTTCAAAACCGATGTAAAGTGACTTTATTAACCTCACACCATTGTGGAGGACTGGGGATGTAACAGGACCACAATAACAGAACGAGATGTATGGAACACGTCTTTGAGCTCACGAATCAAGGACGTTCTCTCGGTGTAAATTCACCAATGCCCTCCAACTTACCCAGGAAAGCCTCACTCTCTTTCAACAGGATGCTGCTACATTGGGATGTCGGGGCACCATGGTGGCTATGAGATGTTAACTGCCTAGCCTGGTATACAAGAAGTTGTGGGTTCGATCCCGACCCCGACGCCTGCTGTATATTTGGAGTCTGCATGTTCTCCCCGTGGTCGCGTGGATTTTTCTCCAGGTCCTCCGGTTTTTCCCTCCACATGTAGAAACGTGCGTCTATAGTATTTCGCTGCTTGTAGATTTCCACACGATAAGCCACTTCGTTGAGCTATCATTTGTGGCGAGGTCGCTTCTGAAAAAGAGCTACATAGCTCAGATGGCCTTACCTGGTAAAATAAAAAAAAAGATGTTTGGCCAATTCCATTATTTTTTAGTTTGACTTCACGTGGGAGGAAACCGGAGAGAGTTGGGAGAAAACCTGGAAGCTCGTAGCAGGCGACGACGCTCAGCACTGCCGTCTCTCCTGGCCACCTCGCAGCCGCACGGCTCCACAGCTCCGTAAGCGCTGAATATCAACCCCAAGCAGGAAACGCCCCCTAACCCAGTCTCAACAGTGCTTCGCCTCTCAACTATTTTGGAAGCTACTGCTGCCATCATCATCATCATCCCTCCACGTGTGATGGCCCGATTAGTGCGGTTGGCTATGTATGGTGCGAAAGAAGTTCAACGTACGTTATTCAGAATCGATCTACCTGCTCTCAACTTGCCGCACAGTGACATTGTGCGGGTTATCAGGTTCTCCCGGCACACCTGAAGCATTCTGAGGGTGAGAGTGGGAAGGAGGAGGATTGCGAGTGACGGGGAAAATGCAAGAGCCGCCGGTTCACGGGAACTTTAGTGGAGAAGATTCGCAGTGGCAAGACGCTTGCAAGCTCCTGTCAGCAAGATAAGTCGCAGTAAAGACAGCACCACGATGGTGGTGGCAGTACAGCAAGTAGGCTTCAGAACGCCTGCCTGTTCTTAAACTCCAACGACGTTTCCAATGCTAGCAATCGCCTCAGCCCCAACCATCCACCACTATCAACGCCGCGTCCTTTCATCTCACACCCACCACCGTCAAACCTTCACGACACTGGCAGCACCACGGCCTCCATTCACCACCCAATCCTCCCTCTACTCGATCACCTCCACGCCCATCATCTTCCACTTCTATCAACCATCGTCATCATCCTCATTCGCAGTCCTCTCCCCACCACCTCCACACGCTCCTATCACCTCCATTAAATAACCTCCCCTTCACCAATACCCCCTCCATCCCCCATTCACCAACTCATCATCTCCATTCACTTCCCACTGCCATCACCACCAATCCACGATCCACTCCCATCACCACCTCCGTCACTAATAACTCTTCCCACCCCCCCTCCCTACCCCCTCCTCTCTCCCACCCCCCATCACCGTTCGGTTGATAAACGTCACGACCGAATGTTTAGGGAACGGACTGCGCACCGGAACAACGAACAGTTGGCGTTGGCCACCCGAGTTTGATTCCGGGACACGGCTGACATCAGTGGCGAATGACAACCCGAGACTGTCCTGGTCGCTCCCGGTTCGCCTCCACCCCCCTCCCCGACCCGTGCATCGATTTGACGTTTGGCCAATTCCACTCACGTTTGGCTTCGCGTGCGAAGGAAACCCAAACCCGTCAGCCCCTATTCGGTGCCCTACCTTGTCACAGGCCAATTCAGACCTTACTGGTCACGCCGTGCGCCTTATAAATCTCAAAGTTCATCCTACAAAGTCCCATCACAAGGGAGAAACACAAATAGACAGGGGGTGAGTGGGGGGGTTGAGGTGAGGCGGGGGGGATGAGGTGGGGGGGTGAAGTGGGGGGGGGGGGGGTGAGGGGAGGCGGGGGGGGGGGGGGGGGGGGGTGGGGGGGGTGAGGTGAGGCGGGGGGGTGAGGTGGGGGGGGTGGGGTGAGGTGAGGCGGGGGGGTGAGGTGAGGGGGGGTGAGGTGGGGGGGGGTGAGGTGAGGCGGGGGGGGGGGTGAGATGAGGTGGGGGGGGTGAGATGAGGTGGGTGAGATGAGGTGGGGGGGGGTGAGGTGAGGCGGGGGGGGTGAGATGAGGTGGGGGGGTGAGATGAGGTGGGTGAGATGAGGTGGGGGGGGTGAGATGAGGTGGGGGTGAGATGAGGTGGGGGGGTGAGATGAGGTGGGGGGGGTGAGAGATGAGGTGGGGGGGGTGAGAGATGAGGTGGGGGTGAGATGAGGTGGGGGGGTGAGAGATGAGGTGGGGGTGAGATGTGGGGGGGTGAGATGAGGTGGGGGGGGTGAGATGAGGTGGGGGGGGGTGAGATGAGGTGGGGGGGGGAGGTGAGATGAGGTGGGGGGGGTGAGATGAGGTGGGGGGGGGTGAGATGAGGTGGGGGGGGGTGAGATGAGGTGGGGGGGGTGAGATGAGGTGGGGGGGGGTGAGATGAGGTGGGGGGGGGGGTGAGATGAGGTGGGGGTGGTGAGATGAGGTGGGGGGTGAGATGAGGTGGGGGGGGGGTGAGATGAGGTGGGGGGGTGAGATGAGGTGGGGGGGAGTGAGATGAGGTGGGGGGGGGAGTCGCTCTCTCGGCTCTCACCGCACACGGAGCACGACAGCGCCTGCCTCAGGCTGGGCAGGAGTCGGCAGACGTCGTTGAGGCTCCCGGGTCTGCGCGGGTCGCAGCGCAGCACGCAGCGGCAGGTGGACGCGTATAGCGACGTGGCGTTCATGCTGCCGGCCGGGAGCCTCGAGGCCGAAGTCGCTCGCAGGCCCGGACCCAGGGCCCAGCTAACAGGCGATGAGCGGCGGCGGCGGCGGGAGGAGGAGGAGGTTTGGGGGACGAACCGAGACTCGCGCCGCGCGGAACCTCGGATGCTGAGAAACGGCGGCGGCGGTCGCTGCTCGAGACCGCGACAGGGAGAGTGGACGTCGTGGAGGAGAACCTGCAGATCTTGGATGGAGGACGCGGAGAGGCCACGCGCGGCCCCGACAGTCGACTTGGACCGCCCCCGGGCAAAAGTTCCGAAACCCCCCCCGAGGAAGACAGACCACCACCCTCCCCCGCCAAACCCCACAACAACAACAGGGCGAGTAGGTTCAGGGGGGGGGGTAGAGAGCCCCACCACCACCACCGTGGGTGGGTGGTGGAGCCTCGACCACCAACTCGGAGCAGACGAGGGGACCGAGCCCCGATAGATCCGGCCCAGCACCCGGGGTCCTTACCCCCTCCTCCTCCTCCCCCCCAGCCGCCTCGCCACCCAACCCAGCAGCGTCTGTAGCGATCCCAGACCTCGGATCCAGCAGCTCCCGAGCGGGAAGCCTCGAAGCGAGACGGCACCAAACGCCTCGAGCCCTGGGCCCCGACTGGGGGGGGGGCTTTGGCCCCGGACGGCGCGGCGGGAAGACGGCGGTGGGTTGGCGAGGTCCAGAGGAGCGGCGTGGGCCCGCGACCTCTGACCCTAGGTGGATGAGGGGGGAGGGCGTGAGGGAGGGGTCAGGGTCTCGTTCCGAGCATTTTAAGGAGATGTTAATTAAGAATTTTGTTACTAATTTTTTATATATGTTAACTAAAGGCGATCCAATAGCGGAAGGAGCGTTACGTAGCAGCAGAGGGCGAATAAAAAAAAATCATCCGAGATCCCCGGGGTGGAGGGGAGCGGAAATCTCGCGAGACTTGGCACGCGCGATTGGTCGCGAAGGCTGCACGTGACTTCCACACCACCACCACCCCTCGAGTGGTCACGTGCGCGAGGCGGCCAATGGGGTGCAAGGAGCGCCCGCTGCAGCCGCCTCAAATCGCTGTCCTGCATTTGCAACAACAACAGCACGGTCAAACAAGAATGCAATTTAAAAGCAATGACAATGCCACTCATGACAGATGTATATATAAAAACACTTGATGCAATTACACATGAGTTCCTGACTATTGCCATAGTCAGAAGAGACTTGTCAATTGCTTCTCAATGTTTTGATTGCAGACCTCGGTTTGTGAGAGCTTGGATGACTGTATCAATATCTACCGAGTCTAGTTCTTGGTCAGTCTATGAGGGTTAATTGGCGCAATGGAATGGCACACGGATTGGTCATTTCCAGCATTCGGTAGTAGTTCACCATGGAAGTGGAAGCTGACAGAACTCTACCATGCCTGGATATTCTGCTCGGACGGGGTAGAAATGGTAAACACAAAGTGTTTACCGAAAGAAAACGCATACCGACGCCTATCTGAATGCAGAGACACACTATCACCCCGCACAGAAATCTGCTCTTATCAAGACGCTCATTCATCGAGCTAAGAAAGTGTCAGATGGTGACAGTCTGAGAAGTTAAATTCGACATGTTAAAGAAGCGCTGCAAATGAACGGTTACAATGGTGCACAAATCAACAGGGCATTGAATGCCAAACCCAAATAAAATAACACGAGCATTGGAAACGGTCCAAGTAATTAAAACGATCAAAATACCGTACATTTTGGGAGTAACTGATAAACTTGCCAGATGTTTGGAAAAAAACATACGAGTCAGATTTGAAAAGGTACATAAAATACAGAATTTAATATCTGGTACAAAAGATGTATCACTGAAGCTATCAATAGGTGTGTACAGGATTAACTGCACGTGTGGTGAATGTTATGTTGAGCAAACAGGACGAATGATCAGCACGAGACTAAAAGAACATCAGAGAAATATTAAATTCTCACAAATACAACTGTCAGCAGTAGCCAACAAGGACACTCAATTGATTTTGATAATGTTGAAGTTCTGTGCAAAACTAACTACGACTGGCCAAGACTCAATAGAGAATCTATCGAAATTGAAAGAAATTAAAATAACTTTAACCGTTCGGATAGCTACCATCTTAGTGCTGCGTAGAAGCGAATCATCAAATAATACATTTGAATGCATGCCTACAAAGGGCAACGTACTTCAGTAGGATTTACCGTTGATAGGGCTATTTTAATAAACACAACAGACAAGAAGGACAAGTTCAAAGGGCTCGCATAATGCACATGCATCATGTACGTTGCCTCAGTAATACCCCCTCCCCCATCATTTTGCAAGTGCAAAGAAGTGTGGTCACCACATCTACGCCTCTATATAAGGAACGAAACAGGTGGACGTCTCCACAAATCTGTCTGTCGCCTGATGAAGCCAGTTGTAATTACTGGCGAAACGCCGTACTCAGATTGTAAATGTTGTGGCTTGGCTCTCCAACACACCGGTGTGCTGTACCAGTGACGAATTGGCACGTTGTTTACGTGACAACCCTTACTAGTTGGCTGTCAGGTGGTGGCAGGTTTTGACACATATTTACGCGATCTAACCCAAAAAAAAACCTCTATTATGGAGTGAATGGTAGACAAACCTTTCCCAAATCTGAATTCTTCGTTATTCTGTTTTCAAATATGATTCGCTCTCTCGAAGACAGAACGACACAGATGCACGAGGAACCAGACGAGCGGCAGAGGCAGTGAGCCGGCTACAAATTTCCCCCCAAAGCTCTGCGTTCCTTTTTTTATCAAGGGGTTATTGGCCAATGGTTGTTTACACGTGGGAGGAAACTGCAGCAGAGAAAATCCACGCTCGCGAAGGGGGGGGGGGGGCAACACCCTTCCCCAAACAGAAGGGGGACAAGTGAGGGTCCACATTTGCTGATACCACCGTCTGGACCGCCAGGGAGGGTATGGCTTCCTCATCGACGTCCACCAACCCTCACCTCTACAGTGCTGACTGGATTACTGGCCACGTGCGTAACCAGCACCACCCAGCGAAATCTTCATAAACAAATAAATAAATGCAAACCGCCACTTCTTTCAAATGTTTCTTGCCGTTGGTTTTCACACCTGATGATGACCGTTTGTGTTATGGTCGAAACGTCGTGAGAATTTTTATTGTTTTATATATATTTTATTATTTTATTGTTTCCCTTCAACGTGTCTTTACCGAAAGAGCTAAGAATATAAATAAATTTGTGTGGTAAGAGGTTAATGGGTCTGTATTTCTAAGTCAGTTTTCACCCCTCTTCGAGGTATTGAAGACAATGATATATTGTAAGAGTCGGATAGGGAAACACGGTTTCAACAAAGTTACTTGGTGACAAGAGACGATGCTTTATGAAAACAGGACTGGAGAAATAAATACATCGACAGAGAACCATGTCAAAATTGCTGAGTAATGACCAATGGCAAGAGTCCTCGGAATCGATGGAATAACGCACTCAAGAATGCTGCAAAGTTGGACTCAAAATAAATTCGGGCAAAAACTAAATTACAAGTTCACAAAACAGTTCAAGATATCTGTTTGGAGGAACAACTGGCAAACACATTGGAGTGTTTATACACAAGGCAGATATTGAAGATGGACCAAGATCTAAATAGTTAAAGATGGGTAGAGAGCTGGAAATCTGAATCTTGACTTAAAGCTTTCGTGACTGCAGGAATTCATATTCTTTGGGTCTTTTGGTAAAGTCACGTAGATAGGTTCAAATAAATAACAAAAGATTATGACGTTTCGATCGCAACACAGGCGTCCTCTGGTCTAACACCGTTTTGAGACTAGGCTCAAAAGAAAGCTGTCTCTGGTGTGGACCAATCAGTTTCAAAGACAATGCCACGTAGATTATCAGTGTTTTTTTTGCATTCTGACAAGTATTGTGGTTAATGCAGACATGATTCCTTGTAAAAGGTTTCAGTTTGGTGTTTTAACATCTTAACATGTTTTGTTGCCAGAAAAAAAGAGGAAAACCTATTCTCATATTTTGGTACTGGCAAAGGAGGTCCCATGACGTTACGTTAATATTATTAATCCTTGATCGTTTCTGCGTGGAATAAATATCGCCCGTTCTATAGGATTCGGGGGCGGGGGGGGTGCGTCAGACATACGTACGCAGGTGGGGGGGGGGGGTTGTAAAAAGTACGCGTGCGTACAGGGAGGGGTCAAGTTTTGACAGATTTTTGCGTACCTACGAAATGGATGGCCCCTTAAGGCAAATTCCGGGCGATTCGACCATGGGAAAACGACGGCAACAAAATGCACTTTTATTTTAGCCGTTCATAACGTTCAGGTTCACAGTCTTATATTTTACAGAGTATCAACAGTCCTCACTTTAGCCAAAACCAAGTAACGTGGCCCCAACGTAACCATTCACCACAGCCCCCCGCCCCCTTCCCCTCTAAAAACCGACACACGGTGTGCGGAATGTGACACGGAATAAACCTGAGAGTTGTGATATTCCAAAATGGGAGGAAGGCTTGCGATTCAATCGGCGCAAGGTTATGTCGATCTTGAATCAACGCAATGCTTGTTTACGAAATCAACCCTCGACTTTTTCGATCCAGAAGGCTTGGCTTAAGGTTTGTGTGTGATCTGGAGTGGCACGGGTTTCGCACGTTGCGATGTCGCGACGCAATCTGGACGCTGCCGCCGCGTTTCACTCCGCGGGGCGATTGAACTGCGTCATAAGGACGGAGCACAGGGCCAGCATCTGCAGATATTCATCCGCTCCGTCCACCAGGCACTTGTCCACCTCCTGCGGGGGGACACAGAGACGCGTCCAGTATGAGACGGGGAGTGGGTGGGTCTGTGTGTGTGTGTGTGTGAGATCACGGTCGATTCCCGCTCACGGCCAACACCAGTGACAATTATCTGAACCGGTACTGGGCCTCCCTTACATCGACTCAGCCTCAAATGAGTAACTGGTATGGTGTGTAAACATCGCCACTAGAGAGAAAAGGTGGCCGGGATGGTGCTGGCCACCCATCCCCTCGGGTGGTGTACTGGCCTTCATTGGTGTTCACTAAGAGCACTTTCCTCAACAGTTTGCTATGTCTCTACCGGGGATCTCTGTCTGTGTGCTCTGTTACTGTGTCCCCTGCAAATCCCCGTGTGTTGCTGACCCCCAGCTTGTCGGCGATGGCCGACTTCTGCCGGTCGGAGAGGTCGGCACGACACAGCACGACCTCGTGAAGCTGCCCTATGAGCGTCGTGGCCGCGTAGCCCTCGCAGCAAATGTTCTGCACACACACAGGAGACACGCGGCAGTCATTAATACAACTCAATGTGAATCTCGCAGAGAACAAACTATTTTTTATCTTACCAGGTAAGGCCCACTGAGCTATACAGCTCTTTTCTAGAAGCGACCTGGCCACAAATGATAGCTCAACAAAGTGGCTTATCACGTCAGAAATGTATAGCAGCCAAATACTATAAAGGCATGTTTCTAAATGCGGAGAAAAAAATTCAAGGACCCAGAGAAAAATCCACGCGACCACGAGAACATGCACACTCCGAATATACAGGCATCAGGGTCAAATCCATGACCTCCTGTATATCAGGCGAGGTAGTTAACATCTTGCCACCCGATATAATAGTGTCTAAATGTGACATCTCAAGACATTATGCAGAAAGAGTGAGCTTATTTGAGGCATTCCTTGGTAAATTATTTACGTAAACATTACCTAACGTTGAAAAAGTATAAAATCATGATACGATACATCTTTACGTGCACGCATTTGAATTTCATCACAATACTAGACTTATTGAACGATGCGTGTTCATTATTCCACGTGTAATGTATACAACCTAAAGCTGTACATGGATGAGCACTGAAAAAAAATCCCCTTCCCAAAGTAACAAAGCAGACAATACGCCTCCTCTTCCTACATCCACAAAAAATAAAGATATGTTTAACACATCCCCATCAGCCACACAGCCTTCTGGGAGTGCATAATTTCAGTAGCAGTCAGGCTGGCTTAAACTAATGCTCATGAACTGGCAGATGTTAAATATGGGTCCTGGTTTGATGCAAACTATTTTCAAAAGGCAAATTTGTAAGTTATATAACCCCGGGTGATGTGTGTCCATGTGTGCCTATGTGCCTAGCTAATAGTAACGGTGCCACCATTGGCAGTGGAAGAGATGGGTGCAGTACAGAATGGGGACTTGACTGAACAGGCAGAACAGAGGAGGGCATGACAGAAGGTATCTCCAGGTCCTCTGGTTTTCCCTCCACATTTAGAATCAACGTGCGTTTAGAGTCTTTGGCTGCTATAAATTTACACGTGATAAGCTACTTCGTCGAGCTATCATTTGTGATAGTCCGGTCGCTTCTGAAAAAGAGCTATATAGATCAGTGGCCTTACCTGGTAAAAATAAAAAAATAGTTTATAGTTTAGTTTAGAGTGGTACAGAAATAATGATACAGAAAGGGGGACTACATACATATGAATACAGAAGGGAATACAAACTAGAGTACAAAAGGGAGCACAGCAGAAGTTGAGGGGGATTACAGAAGGGGGTAGCTCAGAATGAGAAGGGCTACAAGGGGAATGGTGGAGCAGGAGGCCGTCCGTATATAAGGGGTCCAGAAGGGGGTAGCACAGAAGAGGATGATGATGATACAGAGGTGAGCGGTAGAAAGGGGGCACCACCTGGACAGCCAGGTCCATCTTGTCGATGGAACTGGAGCGGCACGCTTCCACCAGGGCGTTTAGCATGGCGGTGGGCACGGAGGCGGAGATCTCCATGATGATGGCTCGCGTGATGGTCGCCCCGACAACGAGGCGGGCGGCGCTCTGCAGCATGGTGATGGCGCGGCGAAGGTCGCCTTCGGCCACCTTTACCAGCTCCGTCAGGGCCTGGTGACATGAGTCAGGAGTCAGGTGAACACGAGGTGTGTCAGGTCTGTGTGTCTTTTTCTTATGTTACGGGTTAGTCAGTTCACGTATAACACCATCATGAAGGTCCTAAATGATTGCGAGCAGAGGGTCCGGGACTTTGAAAGCGTGAAGAATAACCCAGAGCGCTGGCCTATTGATGATATCATAGGCCCTGACCAGGTCAATAAAGCAGACATGGAGGTCATGTTTAAATTATCTGCACCTCTGCAGTAACAGATGAACAGTAGCAGCAGCAGGGTCAACCCTACCTTGCCCTATGATGTTATTTAATCTGATGAGTTTCCCCTCACTGAAATGCTCAGCAAACCTGTGAACATCAAGTTTCAAGTTTAATTTATTAGGTATAGCCCTGTGAGCCATGCGGCTCTTAAGTCGGGTGCAACCGCAACAAACAAAATTTGAACACAGAACATCTTAAAACGACAACGCGTAACAGAAACATCCTGGAATAAACCAGCAAATATTCCACGCAAAAAAAAAACTTATTAAAACGCTGTGTGCAAAAATCATACACACACCCATCCTCAAAGACACACAAACATACATACATTCTCACACACTCAAAGACAAAGATCTCCCGTATAGCCTTAACAGACTGTTGGGGCAAGTGCTGTTAGCGAGCACCTATGAAGGCCGGCACGGTACACGAGGGAGTGGGTGGCCAGCACCACACTCGACCGCTTTTGTCTCCCTAATGGCGATGTTTACACATCGCACCAGGTACTCATTGGAGGCCGAGTCAACGTAGGGTAGGCCCAGGATCTATTCAGATATTCGTCACTGGTGTTGATGGCCGTGAGCGGGAATCGAAACTGGGTCACCGGGTTAGTAGCGCAGTGCGCTAACCAATGCGCTACCTCTCCCCACATCACACACTCGCACATGTTCACACATGCACACCCAGCCTCACACACACATGCACGCGCACACACGTACCTCCTGCTCGATCTTGAGCCCTTCCTGGTCACACACGTGCCTGACCCTCTGCTCCTGCGCAGCGTCCGACAGGGGCTTGAAGCGGAACTTGGAGCAGCGCGAAGTGAGTGGCTCAATGATGCGGCTCACGTAGTTGCAGATGAGGCAGAATCGCGTCGTCTTCGTCTCGCGTTCCATCGTGCGGCGCAGCGCCGCCTGGGCCGCGGATGTCATCGAGTCCGCTTCGTCCAGCACCACAATCTTAAACGGCGGGCAGGGGCTGCCACTGCGGGAGGGGGGGGGGGGGTTGGAGGGATACGCAAGGATGGGCGGGGACCATTATGCACGTACAGACACAAAAAAGACAAGAGACACAAACACACGCACAGCCACTCGCTCACACAGTCACACACACAATTAATTCCCTGTACTGTATAGCCTTAAGCAGGCTGTTGAGGCAAGTGGTGTTAGCGAGCACCTATGAAGGCCGGGGGTGGGTGGCCAGCTCTACGCCCGGCCGCCTTTGTCTCCGGAGTGGTGATGTTTAAACATCACACTTCGTACTCATTTAAAGCTATCGACCTCGTGGAGGCACAGAACCGGTTCAGATAATCGTCACTAATGTTGGCCGTGATCGGGAATGAAACTCGGGCCATCGGGTTCATAGCGCAGCATGCTAACCACTGCGCCACTGCTCTCCATATGCACACACACACATATTCAAGGACACATAGGAACCCACAGGTACAACACCCGCCATTTGCCACTAAGTGGTGATAACGACACCACGGCCCCTGTGCCAGGCTAGGTGCACTTCGAGGCCACGTGAAGTGTTGAAGGCTCGCTGACAGGGACAGACCCAGGTGTGATGGGTTGACTGATTGAGATAACTGGCAGATGCACCAGCTGTGCCCCCTACTGTGCCAAATTTCTGTATTTTATTTCCGCTCATTGTTGTGAGCGTTACTCCTCTGCCCTGTTATTTTTAGATGGCGACTGCCTCCCACTGACCAGTAGCGCGCTTCATGAGCCTCCTTCACAGAGGTCGATCTTGACACTGTTGGTACCAGTTTTTGGCAAGCCCACTCAGCTCCACATCCTCCCGAACCGGATCAGTCCATCTCTTCTCCAGACCATGGCGTACCCGTTTAGCCCCATGTATCTGGCCAAACAGAAGCTGCTTGGACATGCGGTGGCTGGGCATGCGGGCTACATGACCCACAGATACAGAGGCGCGCACACACATGCACAACACCACACAGGCAGAAACGGACAAAATCCCACTCGAGTCCATCCGTCACTCACTCTTTGCGAGTGCTGGATGCTGTGAGCTGCGCGAAATTCTTCACTTTATGTCGCACCACCTGGATGCCGCGCTCGTCCGACGCGTTGAGCTCCAACACGCGCTGCGCATACAGCTCCGGCCCAAACAAATCGCGTGCCGCTGCCAGGATCGCCGACGTTTTCCCCGTACCCGGCGGTCCGTAGAACAGCAGGTTGGGCAGCTACGCGCACGTACAAAACAAAGATCCCCCCCCAACCCGTATAACCTTAACAGGCTGTCAGAAGCAAGTGCCGTTAGTGAGCACCTATGAAGGTCGGCATGGCGCATGAGTGGGTGGGTGGCCAGCACCATTCCCGGCCACCTTTGTCTCTCCAGTGGCAATGTTTACACACCACACCAGGTACACATTTGAGGCTGAGTCGAGCTAGGGGAGGCCCAAGACCGGTTCAAACAATCGTCACCGGTGTTGGCCATGAGCGGAAACCAAACTCGGGTCGCCGGATTCATAGCGCAGCGCGCTAACCACTACTACACCTACCGCTCGCCCTGCTATACATACTGCGTATGGGTACACATGGCAGGCACACACAGGTACAAACACGCACAGGCACAAATACAGCCAGGTACGTAGGTGGTGGGCGGTGATTATCCAATGCCTGTAATCCAGCAATGTGGAGGGGAGGGATTGGTGCATCACACAAATGTTGCGAAACTCCCTTCCCGTGGGTGTCAAGGTGTCATACTCTGGCTCGCCAGGAGGTGGCACAGCAAAGTGCGTACTAATCTCCATCTGTCCCACTTGCATGGGATACAGTCCTACCCTCTCGCACACGTGGGTTTTCTCCGGGTGCTCCAGTTTCACTCCACATGTATAAACACTCCAAAGTGGCTAGAAAATATATGTATAGCCACCTCCATGTGCTGCGGCTCGTGCAGCCATTGTGAGCTACAGTTTGCATGAATAATGCAAGTACATATAAAACTCATCTTAATTATTATAGGTATAGTTAGGTAAACATGTACATGTGGGTATAAATACACGGAGGCACAGCTATTATTTAAACCATAATTATTTGACCAGATAAGGCCCACTGAGCTACATAGCTCTTTTCCAGAATCGACCTGGTAACGAATGATAGCTCACCGAAGTGGCTGATCACGTGGAAATGAAAGCAGTCAAATGCTCTAAATGCATGATGCTAAATGTGGAGAGAAAAAAACGGAGACGTGGAGAAAAATCCACGCAACCACAGTGAGTGAATACATTCCAAATATACAGCAGCAGGCGTCAGGGTCGGGAACGAACCCACGACTTCCTGCATAACAGGCGAGGTAGTTAACATCTCCTAGCCACCGTATGGATGGGTCCACAGAGAGACGGTGCTTGCGAGTGGTGATGTAGGTAGTGGTGATGTAGGTAGTGGTGATGTAGGTAGTGGTGATGTAGGGAGTCGTGATGTAGGGAGTCGTGATGTAGGGAGTGGTGATGTAGGGAGTGGTGATGTAGGGAGTGGTGATGTAGGGAGTGGTGATGTAGGGAGTGGTGATGTAGGGAGTGGTGATGTAGGGAGTGGTGATGTAGGTAGTGGTGATGTAGGTAGTGGTGATGTAGGTAGTGGTGATGTAGGTAGTGGTGATGTAGGGAGTGGTGATGTAGGGAGTGGTGATGTAGGGAGTGGTGATGTAGGGAGTGGTGATGTAGGGAGTGGTGATGTAGGGAGTGGTGATGTAGGTAGTGGTGATGTAGGGAGTGGTGATGTAGGGAGTGGTGATGTAGGGAGTGGTGATGTAGGTAGTGGTGATGTAGGTAGTGGTGATGTAGGTAGTGGTGATGTAGGTAGTGGTGATGTAGGTAGTGGTGATGTAGGTAGTGGTGATGTAGGTAGTGGTGATGTAGTTAGTGGTGATGTAGGTAGTGGTGATGTAGGGAGTGGTGATGTAGGGAGGGGTGATGTAGGTAGTGGTGATGTAGGTAGTGGTGATGTAGGTAGTGGTGATGTAGGTAGTGGTGATGTAGGGAGTGGTGATGTAGGGAGTGGTGATGTAGGTAGTGGTGATGTAGGTAGTGGTGATGTAGGTAGTGGTGATGTAGGTAGTGGTGATGTAGGTAGTGGTGATGTAGGGAGTGGTGATGTAGGTAGTGGTGATGTAGCTAGTGGTGATGTAGGGAGTGGTGATCTAGGGAGTGGTGATGTAGGTAGTGGTGATGTAGGTAGTGGTGATGTAGGGAGTGGTGATGTAGGGAGTGGTGATGTAGGGAGTGGTGATGTAGGGAGTGGTGATGTAGGGAGTGGTGATGTAGGTAGTGGTGATGTAGGTAGTGGTGATGTAGGTAGTGGTGATGTAGGTAGTGGTGATGTAGGGAGTGGTGATGTAGGGAGTGGTGATGTAGGTAGTGGTGATGTAGGTAGTGGTGATGTAGGTAGTGGTGATGTAGGGAGTGGTGATGTAGTTAGTGGTGATGTAGGGAGTGGTGATGTAGGGAGTGGTGATGTAGGTAGTGGTGATGTAGGGAGTGGTGATGTAGGGAGTGGTGATGTAGGGAGTGGTGATGTAGGTAGTGGTGATGTAGGTAGTGGTGATGTAGGTAGTGGTGATGTAGGTAGTGGTGATGTAGGTAGTGGTGATGTAGTTAGTGGTGATGTAGGTAGTGGTGATGTAGGGAGTGGTGATGTAGGGAGGGGTGATGTAGGTAGTGGTGATGTAGGTAGTGGTGATGTAGGTAGTGGTGATGTAGGTAGTGGTGATGTAGGGAGTGGTGATGTAGGGAGTGGTGATGTAGGTAGTGGTGATGTAGGTAGTGGTGATGTAGGTAGTGGTGATGTAGGTAGTGGTGATGTAGGTAGTGGTGATGTAGGTAGTGGTGATGTAGCTAGTGGTGATGTAGGTAGTGGTGATCTAGGGAGTGGTGATGTAGGGAGTGGTGATGTAGGTAATGGTGATGTAGGTAGTGGTGATGTAGGGAGTGGTGATGTAGGGAGTGGTGATGTAGGGAGTGGTGATATAGGGAGTGGTGATGTAGGGAGTGGTGATGTAGGTAGTGGTGATGTAGGTAGTGGTGATGTAGGGAGTGGTGATGTAGGGAGTGGTGATGTAGGTAGTGGTGATGTAGGTAGTGGTGATGTAGGTAGTGGTGATGTAGGTAGTGGTGATGTAGGTAGTGGTGATGTAGGTAGTGGTGATGTAGGCAGTGGTGATGTAGGGTGTGGTGATGTAGGGAGTGGTGATGTAGGGAGTGGTGATGTAGGGTGTGGTGATGTAGGGTGTGGTGATGTAGGGTGTGGTGATGTAGGGTGTGGTGATGTAGGTAGTGGTGATGTAGGTAGTGGTGATGTAGGGAGTGGTGATGTAGGTAGTGGTGATGTAGGTAGTGGTGATGTAGGGAGTGGTGATGTAGGTAGTGGTGATGCAGGTAGTGGTGATGCAGGGTGTGGTGATGCAGGGTGTGGTGATGTAGGTAGTGGTGATGTAGGTAGTGGTGATGTAGGTAGTGGTGATGCAGGTAGTGGTGATGTAGAGGAATCCCCGAGTGAAAGGAGTTCAACGCTAAGAGCCAACAGCGTCCCTTCTCACATCGGCTCCTTGCAATGACTTCTTGAGCACGGCCACCACCTCTTCTTGGTGCGCAACTTCATCCACACACCTGGGCCGGCTGAAACAAACACAGTTACCACCATTGTTACCACCACTACCACCATCATCATCGTCGTCGTCGTTGTCATGGTTGCCACAATCGTCAACATCATGATCAATGCCTACCACCAAAATCTCGTTGATCTCAAAAGCTAAGCGGCGTTGAGCCCGGACACAGCATGATGGGCGAGATACACTGACGGTCACGGTAAATCTGGAGATGTTGCATGTGAGGAGGCGCTGTTGCATGTGAGGAGGCGGTGTTGCATGTGAGGAGATGTTGCACGCGACATGTTGCACGTGAGGAGGCGGTGTTGCATGTGAGGAGATGTTGCACGCGACATGTTGCATGTGAAGAAGCGGGGTTGCATGTGAGATGTTGCACGCGACATGTTGCACGTGAGGAGGCGGTGTTGCATGTGAAGAAGCGGTGTTGCATGTGAGTAGATGTTGCACGCGACATGTTGCACGTGAGGAGGCGGTGTTGCATGTGAGATGTTGCACGCGACATGTTGCACGTGAGGCGGTGTTGCATGTGAGGAGATGTTGCACGCGACATGTTGCACGTGAGGAGGTGGTGTTGCATGTGAGATGTTGCACGCGACATGTTGCATGTGAGGAGGCGGTGTTGCATGTGAGAAGTTGCACGCGACATGCTGCACGTGAGGAGGCGGTGTGGCATGTGAGATGTTGCACGCGACATGTTGCACGTGAGGCGGTGTTGCATGTGAGGAGATGTTGCACGCGACATGTTGCACTTGAGGAGGCGGTGTTGTATGTGAGATGTTGCACGCGACATGTTGTACGTGAGGAGGCGGTGTTGCACGCGACATGTTGCACGTGAGGAGGCGGTGTTGCATGTGAGATGTTACACACGACATGTTGCACGTGAGGAGGCGGTGTTGTATGTGAGGAGATGTTGCACGCGACATGTTGCATGTGAGGAGGCGATGTTGCACGCGACATGTTGCACGTGAGGAGGCGGTGTTGTATGTGAGGAGATGTTGCACGCGACATGTTGCATGTGAGATGTTGCATGTGAGATGTTGCACGCGACATGTTGCATGTGAGGAGGCGGTGTTGCACGCACGCGACATGTTGCATGTGAGGAGGCGGTGTTGCACGCGACATGTTGCACGTGAGGAGGCGGTGTTGCACGCGACATGTTGCATGTGAGGAGGCGGTGTTGCACGCGACATGTTGCACGTGAGGAGGCGGTGTTGCACAGCTCTCACTATTTCTCCACCCATGGCACCGCTCGGCTCCGCTTCGCCTCGCAGCTGCCGGGCTTCTCCTTGGCGGCCGACTTCTCCTTCTGAGGTAAACTCCCGCCCTTGAGGAACGCGTGCATCTTCCTTCCGCGGCAGGGAGGGAGGGGCACGAGAGAAGACGAGGAGGACGAGGGAGGCGAGAAGGACGAGGGAGACGAGGAGGACGAGGGAGACGAGGAGAATAAGAGGACGAGGCCCCACCACGCTTTCTCCCGCCAAAAAAACAACGGCGTGAAAGTTACGGAAGTGACGCGACCGGATGCCCGCCTGTCAGTGGCGCGGAGAACAACAACACTTGAAAGTAAAATAATATTTTTTTTATTATTCCAGTTGGGGTTTTTTTCTCTTTTTTGTTACCTTTGCGACAACAAAATCGTTATGGGAAAGCCACGCAGGAAAAAAAATAACCCCCCCCACCGCATCTTTATTTTGCTTCTGCCCGACGTCACAACCCTGCTCACTGCGAGGTTTATTTTTTCGTTCCTCAGCTCTGAGGCCGGGTTCCCGTCATTGATATGGAAGCGCACGGCCTTGACAACACAATTGCCCGAAACGTCACCAAATTGCAGTATTTATGATTTATTTACTCAGAAACGCTGTGAACATCCGTGACAAAGAGCTTCGTCGCTCATCGGATTACTCCAGTATACATTGTTGTATTGTTTCTCATGTATTATTTATCGTATTAAAAAAAACCACAACATCCGTGACAAAGAGCTTAATCGCTCATCTGGTTCCCCGAGTACAAATAAATAAATAAACAAACGTGACGACGTCGTTGACTCCGGTGACGTCACTCAGCTGTTCGCAAGGCGCGTGTGATGACGTCATCCAACGGGGGGGTGTGTGTGGCGGTGACGTCATCCGCCTTGCGTTGGAAGACGTCTCTCGCTTGGCATCGGATGACATCATCCGCTTGGCTTCGGGTGATGTCATCCGCTTGGCACCGTGTGACTTCACCCGCTCGGCATCGAGTGACGTCATCCGCGCGGTACCGGATGACGTCGTAGAGGGTTGAAGGTCACTGCAAGGGGGGGGTGGTGTAGAGAACGCGAGACCTCGACGACTTTCGGCGGCAGCGGCAGTAGCGGCAGTAGCAGCAGCGATCGCGAGCCATGTGGTACGAGATCCTGCCCGGCTTGACCATCATGACCGTCGCGCTCATGGTGCCGGGGTTCACCACCATGTTCCTGCAGCGAGCGTCCAGCGGGTGGAAGGTGAGAGCGGGGGGCGCAGAGGATGGTGCCCCCGGGCCTGTTTATTGGGGTGACCGTGGGAGAGAGGCTTCAACAAGGCCGTGCCGCGAGGCCTGCGTTCTTGGTCAGCAGAGGGCAGTGGAGTCAAAAGGTTGTCGTTGTGCTGAACGTCTATTGACCCCAGGGCTATCGATGCTCGCCGCCTTCAGCTCGCGCTGACCAGCGGAGTGAAAGCACGGTTTAGGTACGGCGTGGAAAGGCCTTCATCCAGCAGTGGAGTGTGCACGCACGTTGGTCCATTAGGACGCCACGGTGGCTAGGAGATGTTAACTACCTCGCCAGGTGTACAGGAGGTCGTGGGTTCCATCGCGACCCTGACGATGCCTGCTGCTGCTGTATATGTGGAGTTTGTGTGTCTCTCATCATCATCAAGGTGGCTATGAGATGTTAACTACCTCGCCTGGTGTACAGGAGGTCGTGGGTTCCATCGCGACCCTGACGATGCCTGCTGCTGCTGTATATGTGGAGTTTGTGTGTCTCTCATCATCATCAAGGTGGCTATGAGATGTTAACTACCTCGCCTGGTGTACAGGAGGTCGTGGGTTCCATCGCGACCCTGACGATGCCTGCTGCTGCTGTATATGTGGAGTTTGTGTGTCTCTCATCACCATCAAGGTGGCTAGGAGATGTTAACTACCTCGCCAGGTGTACAGGAGGTCGTGGGTTCCATCCAGACCCTGACGATGCATGCTGCTGCTGTATATGTGGAGTTTGTGTGTCTCTCATCATCATCATCACGGTGGCTATGAGATGTTAACTACCTCGCCTGGTGTACAGGAGGTCGTGGGTTCCATCCAGACCCTGACGATGCCTGCTGCTGTATATGTGGAGTTTGTGTCTCTCATCATTATCAAGGTGGCTAGGAGATGTTAACTACCTCGCCTGGTACACAGGAGGCCGTGGGTTCGATCGCGACCCTGTGACGCCTGCAGCTGTATATTTGTGTGGATTTTTCTCCGGGTCCCCCGGTTTTTCCCTCCACATTTAGAATCAACATCACGCGTTTGGAGTGTTTGGCTGCGATAAATGTCCACGTGATAAGCCACTTCGTTGAGCTATCACATAGCTCTGCTGAAAAAGAGCACGTAAATCCACGTGTCCAAGGGGAGAACATGCAAACTCCAAATATACAAGCGTCAGGGTCTGGATCGAACCCACGACTGCCTGTATGCCAGGCGAGGGAGTTAACATATCGCCACTGTGGCACCCGAGATAGACAGACAGAGCCAGTACATAAAGGGTGGCCTTAGTTGTAGAGGGTTAAAATTGAACTCTGTTTCGACATGTGTCGTGAATTCCCCCCCCGTGGCAGGAGAAGCGCGTGGTGTCAGACGCCTTCGGGTTCATGATGCTCAAGAGGGACGCGCGAGTGTCCGGGACAAACACCTATTACCAGAGCAAGGTGAAGCTATTATATCATCGTCGTCATCATCATCATCAACACCACCACCACCATGATCATCATCGCTTTCGCCACCATCAACATCATCATAAGCAGCTACTAGCGGTGCATCGTGAAGCTATTATATCATCATCACCACCATGATCATCATCATCATCATCGCTTTCGCCACCGTCAACATCATCATAAGCACCGACTAGCGGTGCAGAGTGAAGCTATTATATCATTAACACCACCATGATCATCATCATCGCTGTCGCCACCGTCAACATCATCATAAGCACCGACTAGCGGGGCATCGTGAAGCTATTATATTGTCAACACCGCCATGATCATCATCATCGCTGTCGCCACCGTCAACATCATCAGCACCGACTCGCGGTGTATCGTGAAGTTATTATGTCATCAACACCACCACCGTGATGATCATCATCACCGTCAACATTATTAAAGATCACCATCACTCCCAACACCATAAATTCACGCACAATTATCACCACGATAATCACCACCCTCGCCATTGTCAATATTATCACCACCACCAGTCACCACCGGAATCATCATAAATAATCATCAGCGTCTTTATTGTCACTGTCACCGTAAATAATCGCCACCAAAAATTCGCCATTGTCATTGCTATAGTCGCCATCGTCAGTGTTATTAACGTCATCACCATAAATAATCACCGTCATCAGCATCATCGCCACCATCGCAATTGCTTCCACCAGCACTGGCAACGTCACCATCATCATCATCATCTTCAAAACCAATATCACCATCTTTATCATCACCATCATAATCACCATAATTGCCACTATCAACAAAAATCACCTTCACCATGATCGTCGCCATCATCATCATCGCCATCAAAAATAATCAACAGCCGCTTGCAATGCCGTCATCTCTGTCACCATCACCACTGTCCGATTCAGTGTGGCCTTGCCGTGCATGCATGTGTAGTGGGTTCACGGGACACGGAGATGGTGGAGTAGAGGCAGCACTGTTTATTTAACTTAACAAGGGTTACACTGGAAGGGGTAACGGCCCCTTCACCCGTATACACGCTGGAACACCCCCTAGGCTATCAAGCCTAACTCCTGTGCTCCCAGTTCCTCCAGCTACAGGCGCTAGAGGAGGCTATCTGATCCGGCCCTGGTCAAGCACAGATCACGGCACCCCACCAACCAGACCGACCCTTAAAAGGGCTCCGGCTCTGAGGCTCTGGGGCCGCACCACTGGCTTACCCTGCCGGCCCTTAAAAGGACAGCGGTCAGGGAAATCCCAATGTCTATCTAGCCGGCCTTCCTTCTTCACTGGTTCTTCATTCTTGGCCCCAACACACTGCCCCGAGCTCTCTGGCTCCCCACCCTTTATACCCATACACCACTGAGGGCGGGGCTATAGCGGACGTGGTTGTAGCCACCAAGGTGTGGCTGTGTGTTACCTTCCCACACTGTTTCCTTCCCACAACACTCCTACACATGTCTAGGCGTTTGGGCATGTGTGTGCGTGCCTTGACAACTCATTTCTTTAGAACTGCTTTTGTGTGTTTAGTTTATAGTCCTTCCCCCGCACTTCCAATTAGCACGGTTGGCTACGTACGGTGCATTAGAAGTTGAACATACATGCGTTGCTTGGGTTGTGCTGAGCGGTGACAGCACCGTTTTGTCTCGCATACCGCACTACGAGGCCAGCGACTTGTGTTCAATTGCAGGGACCAGCTAACGTCAGTGGCGCGATGGCATCTGATCTTTGGGCCTCCCCTAGATCAATTCAGCCTTACATGAGTAGCCTGGTGCGTGACGAATATCAGCACCGGGGAGACAAAAGTTGCCAGGCGTGGTGCTGGCCACACCATCCCCCCTCACGTGGCGTACCGGCCTGAAGAGGTGCTCGCGAACGGCACTCGCCCCTTCTGTCTGTTAAAAGCTGAACGGCAGATCCCTTGTGTGTGTGTGTGTTTCTCACAGGGCTTGGAAAACATCAACTAAGCTGATAAGAAACATGTCTCATCCCTCCTCCACTCCACCCTGCATAACCTGTCACAGACAAACACGTGCATGTCATCACTCACCGGTCCTCCCAGCTCCTGAGCAACCAATAAATTTCTGAGCTTCGACAACGCCTTGGTCTTGGTGTTTGTGTGGTTGTTTTTTCACTCGCTCACCACCTCACTCACCATCTGTTCTCAGCTGCGTGTGTGTGTGTCACGCTGTATACGTGTGTGGGCAGCGATGGTGCAGTGGTTTTTACGCACTGCCCTACAAACCCCACGGTCCAAGCTCGAATCTTGGTTCAAGGCCCAACATCAGTGACCAGTCATATCAAAACTGGTCCTGTTAATTCTCCAGGTGAATTCAATTCTCAAGACGCAACAAGTAAGAACGATTACTCTTGAGAAGTGAAGATATAAAACATTTGGGGTTACGAAGGATATTGGATGGCTTCTCATACCAGTGTCAAAAGCAGATCCAGAACAAAACCCCGACCGAACGTGGGGACGCCCACCCTCAACCTGGTGCTCAAAGATCGTCACGCTTGAGGATCTGTGCCTGGCTAGGGGTGATGGATCGCGACACCTGAAGGAACATTTGGCCCATTAATGATGGCTTATTAACTACTGCTGCTGCTGCGGAGTGAGGAGGGAAAGATCATAATCGTAGATCAGTTTTTTCTTCCGATTCCATTCCGATGACGTGCACGTATGGATTAAATTAGGCCAAGGCCATGCGGGAGGATGTGGGGCACAGATCGGCGCCAGCTATCGTAGAGTGCGGTCGTGTCGCTACAGTTCCCTGCGGGGAGTACAATATCTTTGAATACAGCGGCGTTGTGCCTCTAAATAAGATTGACGCTAACCACTTGCGCGTTCCGAGATTCAGTGGTGAGTGGGGCCCACCCTTCAACAGAGCAAAGATGAGACGGAAAGGGTGACCAATCGGCATGACGCTGACTGGGGTGATGGGAAGGGAGAGGCCTTTCACACGAGTGCAGGAGGGAGAGCCGGCCAGCTGACTCCATGGTGTAGCCAGTGTGAGCTCACCAGTGCTGAATCACACGTATTATTGTGTACTCTCTAGCGTATAACCTAAGAAACCATTTTGTACATGCACATCTTATTACAGACCAATTCAGACCTTATTGGTCACCCCGTGCCCTTAGAAATCTCAACGTTCATTCTACAAAGTAATTAAAAGGGAAAAACACAAACAAATAGACATCGTAACTTAACAAAAACCTTTATATTATTAGTTTTTTCGGTAAAGTCACGTTGAAGAGAAACAACAAAATAATAAAATATATATAAAACAATAAAAAATTCTCACGACGTTTCGACCATAACTCAAACGGTCGTCTTCAGGTGTGTTGGTTCGCATAAATTTATTTTTAAACGGCGCATTTATTTATTTATAAAAAAACGTTAGCGCCACGCGCAGCGATTTGGCAGTTTACCCAGGACTAGTCCATCTATATTCTGAAAAGAGGAGGGGGGAGATGACATTTTTTATAATGTATGCTGTCTGAAAGCCACTGTAAGCGTGAACAATCAATTAAGAACTGAAATGGTTTATCAAATCTTTCCAATGATTGCTAAGATAGAATCCATCTTCTCGGTTGAAATTGTCTCTGTGCTTGTATATGCGGATAGCCTCATGAACGAATCTCTCATGGAAGCCAGATGGCTTACAAAGAACCTCTGTCTTGGAAAAGTCAATGGCATGTGAGCCTACTGAATTAGAACAATGATCTGCTACGGCCGAGGTGTTGGTCCTACCGTGTTTAAGGTCTGCTTTGTGTTCACGAATGCGGTCCGAGACATGGCGTTTGGTTTCTCCAATGTAACTACTACCACAGAGGCAACTTAGTTTGTAGACACCAGGGTATTGTATGTCCGGAATCACATCTTTTACAGACGGAACCAGATCACGGATTTTATGTAATGTGTTGAAACGGACCTGGATCTTGTGTTTATTCAAGATTTTGGAGATCTTTTTTGTGATCCCAGCAATGTAGGGTAAAGTGATGGTTTTGAAAGGCTCCTCAAGAGGGTTCTTCTTCATGGTTTGAGTGATAGCTTTGCAGATTGTATAGTCAGAGTAACCATTAGCCCTAAGAGCTTGGTGTACGTGCTTGAGTTCACTGCTTATGTGTTCCTGGTCGGATATGCATTGGGCTCTATGATACAGAGTCTTGATGAGAGAATTCTTCTGTGATGGATGGTGGTGGGAATCCGGTTTCAGATAAGCATCCGTATGGGTAGCTTTCCTGTAGACAGAGTGGCTCATTGAACCATCAGGTCTCTTTTTAATTAGGATATCCAAAAAAGGTATCTTGCCATCTATTTCGACTTCCATGGTAAATCTGATGGCTGGGTGTATGGAATTGATGTGGTCGAAGAATTGGTCTAGAGCAGGCCGGCCATGTGGCCAGATGACAAAAGTGTCATCCACGTACCTCTTCCATAAGGTTGGGCGCAGAGTGGCAGTCTGGATGGCGTCAGTCTCAAATTTATCCATGAAAATGTTAGCTATAACTGGAGAAAGGGGGGAGCCCATTGGGGTGCCCTCAGTTTGTTTGTAGAAAGTTCCATTCCAAGTGAAGTATGTATTGGTTAAACAGTGTCTCACCAGGGGGGGTACCTCAGTGTTTAGTCCTTGATGAACCAAGTCTTCAATGATTGCAATGGTGTCAGGTACAGGAACCTTGGTGAATAAGGAAACTACATCAAAACTGACAAGCAGGTCGTCTGGGGACAGGGAAATACCCTTGATTGTCGATACCAGGTGAGTAGAATTTCGTACCGCAGAGGTGGTCTTTCCAGTGAAAGGACGCAGGATTTCAGACAAAAAACGAGCTAGTTTGTAGGTGGGGGAGCTGATAGAGACTATGGGACGAAGAGGTGTATCTACTTTATGTATTTTTGGTAAGCCGTATAATCTTGGTGGCCTGGCAGCAGAAGGTTTCAACGAAAACTGTTTAGATTGATCAATTAATGCGGTTGAATCAGAAATTATTTTGTTGGTTTGTGTGACGAGGCTGTTGGTGGGATCTCTTTTTATTTTTGTATAACTACCATCGTCGAGTAATTCTTGAATTTTGTTGTTGTATTCTATTTTATCCATGATGACAGTAGCATTGCCTTTGTCAGCTGAGAGGACTACAATATCATTCCTCTTTTTTAATTTATATAATTCAAAACGCTCATCTTTGCTGAGGTTGCTAGCTGGCATCTTAGCGTTTTTGAGGGTTACAGCGATTTCAGATCTTGCTACGTCTGCAGCGATGTGACCCAGGCCCCTGAGAGCAACGTCTACTTGGGCAATTATATCATTAACTGGTATGTGTTTAGGTGTGACTGCAAAGTTTAGACCTTTAGCTAAAACGGATTTCAGACCATCGGAAATAGAACTGTTACTGCGATTAATTACGACTTTATTAACGTCTAACTTTTTGGTGTGTGGGTCCGGTCTTTGTTGAAGAGGAGGTTAAATTTGGAAATCAGGTTTTCCTTACATTTGGTCGACATAGTAGCAGCTGAAGAGGCAGTCATATTGTCTACATGTTCCCAATCCGATGTGGACATTATTGCCGTCAATGATAAGTGTGATTTGTAGAGTGTCTTGTCTAACTGATCTAGTTCTGTGCGTATAAGTCTGATTTTTTCTGAGATAAGAGCTAAGCTAGTTTTGAAAAGAATTCGTTTCGCATTAGAAGAAGTTACAGCAGCAGAGGTCAGCGTAAATGCGATTGGTATTACCCCAGAGTCGCGGCATCTCTTCAGGAAGGTGAGAGACTCGATCAGCTGAGCTTTCTTATCCCGGAGTTTGTTGAAGGATCTTAAAGTTATGTGAAAAGCCTCCCCGTAGAGGCGATTAAATTTGGATTTAAAGCTTTCGTGACTGCAGTAATTCATATTCTTAGTTTTTTCGGTAAAGTCACGTTGAAGAGAAACAACAAAATAATAAAATATATATAAAACAATAAAAAATTCTCACGACGTTTCGACCATAACTCAAACGGTCGTCTTCAGGTGTGTTGGTTCGCATAAATTTATTTTTAAACGGCGCATTTATTTATTTATAAAAAAACGTTAGCGCCACGTGCAGCGATTTGGCAGTTTACCCAGGACTAGTCCATCTATATTCTGAAAAGAGGAGGGGGGAGGCGAAATTTTTTATAATGTATGCTGTCTGAAAGCCACATTACATAAAATCCGTGATCTGGTTCCGTCTGTAAAAGATGTGATTCCGGACATACAATACCCTGGTGTCTACAAACTATGTTGCCTCTGTGGTAGTAGTTACATTGGAGAAACCAAACGCCATGTCTCGGACCGCATTCGTGAACACAAAGCAGACCTTAAACACGGTAGGACCAACACTTCGGCCGTAGCAGATCATTGTTCTAATTCAGTAGGCTCACATGCCATTGACTTTTCCAAGACAGAGGTTCTTTGTAAGCCATCTGGCTTCCATGAGAGATTCGTTCATGAGGCTATCCACATATACAAGCACAGAGACAATTTCAACCGAGAAGATGGATTCTATCTTAGCAATCATTGGAAAGATTTGATAAACCATTTCGGTTCTTAATTGATTGTTCACGCTTACAGTGGCTTTCAGACAGCATACATTATAAAAAATTTCGTCTCCCCCCTCCTCTTTTCAGAATATAGATGGACTAGTCCTGGGTAAACTGCCAAATCGCTGCGCGTGGCACTAACGTTTTTTTATAAATAAATAAATGCGCCGTTTAAAAATAAATTTATGCGAACCAACACACCTGAAGACGACCGTTTGAGTTATGGTCGAAACGTCGTGAGAATTTTTTATTGTTTTATATATATATTTTATTATTTTGTTGTTTCTCTTCAACGTGACTTTACCGAAAAAACTAAGAATATGAATTACTGCAGTCACGAAAGCTTTAAATCAAAAAATAAAAACCTTTACGTTAAAATTTTTATAATTGGTGTCAATCATGCTACCTATCATGCTGTCTGTGATCTTGCATGCTTGCTTGATACGTGGATGCACACACTCATGTCGTAAATGTGTAATTAGCGACTTCCGCGACGCGTCGTGTCGAGGGTACTTTTATATCTCACACGGGCACAACACAGGC